GGGCATCTAGAGGGTGGGGCATCTAGAGGGTGGGGCATCTAGAGGGGTGGGGCATCTAGAGGGTGGGGCATCTAGAGGGGTGGGGCATCTAGAGGGGTGGGGCATCTAGAGGGTGGGGCATCTAGAGGGGTGGGGCATCTAGAGGGGTGGGGCGGCCCGAACGACGACTCCGGCGGCGCCATCCTGGCCGACGTGCAGCTCAAAGAAGACGGCGGTCCCTGTCCACGGCTGGACGCGTGAAGAGGCGCTGCTCCCGCCGCACGGGTGCAGGAGGAGGGCTGCGCTGCCGGTCGGCACGCGCCTCGCCTTGCCTCGCCGGCCTCGGTCGGGGAAGGCAAAGTCGGTCAGGCCTACCAAGGGCGCCGGGGGGAGGCTCGGAGAAGGCGGCCCTGTGCGGCCGGCGGGAAGAGGCTGGTTCCCGCCGAGCGCGTCGAAGGTGCCGTACAGCACCTGAGGGAGAGATAGCCGAGATGTAGCCGAGATACCGCCGAGATGCGATGAGTGCAGCAGTTTGAGAGGGCGGCTGCAGGGCTCCGGCTGCAGGGGCTCCTCCTCTGCCTGGGGGCTGTGGGCTCGGGCGCCCCGCATCTCGATGTCCCCGAGTGGGGAGGGAGCAGCGAGGTGAGGGGCGGGGCAACCTCGCGATGGTTGAGGTAAAAGTCGAGCAGCGGCGGCGCGGGGTCGGCCGTGGCGGCGGCGGCGCCCTCGAGGGAGGAGAAGAAGCGATCTGGCCTGCGGCGGGGGCCGTGTGGGGCGATCGGGAGGCGGACGGCGCACGCCCGCGACGGCGTGGGCGTGAGTGTGGGCGGGGCGCGCCATCCGCACGCGGCGATGGAGAGGACGGGGTCGACGAAGATGCGCCTCGTGAGCCACACCTGTTCACAGCCAGACGTGTGAAGAGACGCTCTTCACAGCGGGACCAAGAGATAGTCTCGTGAGCCGCACCGCCATCTCGTCGACGGCGCGGTGCAGCGCCGGAGAGGCGAGCGGCGAGGAGGCGAGGGCGGCTGTGCCGAGCAGCCCCGCCTCGAGGGCCCACACCAGCCCGTCGGAGACCGCCTTGAGACAGTCCCGCCGGTGCGGCTGGGCGCGGGTGCGCGGGAGGAGCGTGCGACGTGTCGAGGGCGGTGCCAGGCGCGCTTGCTGCTCGAGGAGTTGCTCGGACGAGGTGGGCTTGGCCCGCAGTCTCGATCCGCAACCTCGGCCCATCTCGGCCCACCTCGGCCCATCTCGGCCCACCTCGGCCCATCTCGGCCCATCTCGGCCCATCTCGGCCCATCTCGGCCCATCTCCACCTTGACCGCCTCCATGCCTGGCCGGCTGCTGGTGCCACACGCGCTCATCAGCGAGGTGAGGTTGCCCCCGAACTTCTCGTCCCACTCCGCGGCGAGTGCCTCCTCGGCCTGAATAGAGGCGGCGGCAGCGGGAGGAGGCGGTGGCGACAGAGCCGGCGGCGAGGGCGGTGGTGCGAGGATGGCAGCCCGCGAAGGGTGGGGAGAGCGGTGGAGGTGGCCGCCTGCTTCGCGCTGCCGTCAAACGCGCTCTTGCAAGGGCCGTCCCGGCAGTTGAGGAGCACGTCGGTCCCCGGCTCGGGGAAGGGGACGTCGATCGGCGCGCCCTGTGCTTTCGCGAAGCGTCCGCCGGCGCGCCCCTCGAAATAGCCGCTGGCAAAGGCGGCGGTCGACTCGACGCAGAAGCCTGTAGGGCGGAGCCGAGGCGGCGTGCAGGCGGATGTGTGGCGCGCCCGCTCTCGCGGCGGCGGCGAGACCGGATCTCTGCGAGATGAAGGCGAAGCTCTGAGGGTCGTAGTCCTCTGGGAGCAGGCCAGAGTGGCCGGCGTAGCGGGTTCGAGCCCACTGTCCCATCGCATGGCACTGCGCCACGCCGCTGGGCGTGAGGCTGCCCGGTTTGGTGGAGAGCGACCTGAAGGCGTCGAGCAGCGTGCCGTACGACGGGCAGAGAGAGACGATGCCCGCGTCGGGCACCTTTGTGCCATGCCTCATGAGCACGGTCACGCGCCGGAGCTCGGCGGCTGCACACACGACTAGGACGATCATCCAGGATGATCGGCGCGGGCTCTGGCCGGCGGCGATGCACTATGAGCTGTGTTCTGCCAGCGGCGATGCACTGCCCACGGCGTGTCGATGAGCTCGGTTCTGCCCCACTCCGCCGTTATTTGGCGGCCTATTAAAAAAGAATTGCCGTGAAGTCTTCAGCCTCTGGATGTTTCATAACTGCACTCCAAGTGCTCCAAGTGCGGCGCGCTCGTGTCAGACCGATTTTGGGGGGGGGGGGATTGTATGAGTACCGGGCGCGTTCGGAGATGGTTGCGGATGGCCAGGGTGGAGTGTGGTGCTCTGCCCGATGCAAGGGCCAAGGCGAGGATGACTGGAATCTCTGGCATGCGAACCTGCGCGGTACGGAAACCGAGAAGTACGTGTATCCCGCACAGTCCGAGTTCGTCGGAGACGGCCGGGGTGGGGTGTGGGTGCTCTGCCCCACGACAGGTGTGGAGGGCGTTTGGCGGCTCTGGCACGCAAGCGACCACGCCGAGAGGGACCTCTACGAATACCCTGCCGATTCACAGCTCGTAGGCGACGGCAGAAGGGGGCGTGTGGGTGCTGTGCTCGACGAGGGGCGTCGAAGACACCTGGAAGCTCTGGCATGTAGATCGCGAACGCGAGCGCGAGATGCACGAATACTCAGCCGACTCGACCATCGCTGCGGCCTGATCGCGTCGATTGTCGCCTGCCCCCCAGAGTCATACACCGTGCGGAGTAGTGCATGTTTGAATCATCATGTCTCTTGCGCGAGCCGGCGTGGCTGCCCTTATAGATCGGAATGGTATGCCGTGCATGCCATCGCGTTTACGCAAACCAGACTCTTGCACCGCAGCCCAACCGAGCCTACCGCCCTTCTCGCCCGCGTCTGCGGCGCGGAAGCCGCCACGCCTCGGCGACAAACGCCGCAAAATGGTCCGGCTCGACGACGACCCGCGATGACAGGTTCTGCCGGACCCACCTCCCATTCGCCCGGTACACCGTTGTGGCCTTGCTCCACGCAGCATCGTTCGCTCTCGTGTCCGAGATCGGCCGCGGCATCGCCGTCGGGTGGTAGACGTGGTAGCCGTGGCCGAGGCCGAGCGCCGAGCTGGCAAAGCAGCGTGGCCCCGTTCTGCCCACAACCTCGATGACACGCCCACCCCTCGGCATGGCCACCATGTTGCTCAGCGCGCCGCCATGGACGCCAATGATCCCGATGGCCCGCCGGAAGAAGGAGAGCGGCTCGTTCTCCGCCACCACGAGGGGGATGCGCGACGGCTCGAGGGCGACGCGCAGAGTCGACAGCACCGCCTCCTCGTCGGCCCAGCGACGCGAGCCCGGCCGCGATAGAAAGGCCACAAAGTGGCCGTCGTCGACCGTTGACTCCCAGCGTGGATGGCTTGACTGCGAGCCACCGCCGGACACCGCCCACCGAAATGCGTAGCGCGGATAGCTATCCTCGTGCCCCACACTCTCTGGGAGTACGATGGGCGCGGCAAAGTTCTCGAGAAGCAACTCCCTGCGGCCGCCGCCCGCCTTGCCCGCTCGCAGCGTGCGCCACGCCGCCTGCCTCGGAGACAGGCAGGGCGGTGTCTTGATCTGCGTGCCGATGGCATTGCCGTCGTCCAGCAGGCCGTTGTGCAATAAAGTGACGTTGCGAGCCACACGCGCGTGCAGGAGCGGCAGCAGGGCACCCAGCGCCGGCAGAGCCTGGAACAGCTGGTGCTGCCAGCTCACAAACGGGCCCGGAGCGAAGGCGGCGAGGACCCAGGGCCCACTGCTGATGTCCTCATCGCTTCCCGGCCTGGTGGAGGTCTTATGGCAGGCGACGCGGCGAATGCTGTCGCCGTCGACGTGGATGGTGGCGCGCCGGCACAGCCCGATGTAGACAAAGCTGCGTCCGCGATAAGGGACGCTGCACGAGGCGCAGTCGCCGCCACTGAGCTCGCCCGTCGCAGAAGCCTCGCCCTGCAGCGGCCAAAGGACGTCGGGGGCAAAGCTCCCCGCGTCGACCTCGCCGCTCAGGCGAAAGGCGGCATCTGTTGGCACCCAGCACGGATGCGCGGCGGGCGCGTCACAGGCCGCACTCGGCTCGGTGGCAATCTGAGTGACCGAGCACCCGAGGGACAGGTGGTGGAGCGTTGGCAGCGAGAGGATTGCCTCATCACGGGATCCCTCGCGGTGCACGGCGGCGGTGAAGAAATCCTCGCCGTGCCGCACCTCGAGCGCATTCGAATCGCAGGACTCGAACCAGCCGCACTCGTCCCGCGACTCTGAGTAGGACACCCAGTTGCAACGAGCGCAGCGCAGGCAGAGATCTGCGCAATCGCGGAGGCACCCCACACCCTGCTCAGACGCCACCCACGCCCCCTTTGCCTGATGCAGGCACTGCTGTCCCCACGACGCCTCGTCACGGCTCGGCATGAGCTTTGTCACGCTGCAGAAGCCAGGAAGCGGACGTGCCGCGGTCATGGATTGGGGATGAATTGTTGAGGCTGTGACTTAAAAGTCTCTCGTCTCTCCATCACGCTGCGCCGAAGTTATCGTGGGTGAACTCGGACGTCCCCTCGCACACACACACACCCTCTCCCCTTTCTCCGATACCTACTACACAGGCTTCGGACAATAAACTTAAAAAAATCGTAGGCTCAATGTGCTGTGCTGCGGCTCGCTCGGATGGTTCCAGGCCCCAAATGGCGTGTGAGTGTTAGAGTTGTTTGGTATCGCTAAAAATCTCTCTCTCGGATGGTCTCTCAGGAATCCTACCTGATTCGTTCGCGATCGCCGTCGACATCGCACAAAAGCCAGCCTCATTCGTTGGCTCACCCGGCGTCAGTATCTACTTAGAGAGAGGACCCCAAATTCTTTTTTCGCCATCCGTCGCCGCGACGCCACGCGGGCCTCCAGCCGAGCGGCTAGCGTGCCCCACCCCGCTCGTTCTTGTCGTCACAGAGCGACATGTCAGCCAACCTCCTCGAGTACATCCGCGACAGCGAGCTGGGCGCCAACCTCTGCTCTCAGACGCCCTTTGGCACGCGAGCGCTCATCTACGCCGACTACACCGCCTCGGGCCGCGCGCTCTCCTTCATCGAGGAGTTCGTGCGCGAGGTGCTGCTGCTGCCTCCTGGCCGACCCGCCCGGCTCACACGTCGCCGCCCACATCCGCCTCAATCGCCACCGCCAGGCGATCCTGCCGACGTACGGCAATACGCACACGGCGACGACCAAGACGGGCCGGCAGACCTCCGACTTTGTCGCGGAGGCGCGCGCTATGATCAAGACGTACCTGCGCTGCAACGATCGCGGCAAGACGAACGCGGATCGCCTCCTCTTCGCGGGCGCGGGCGCGACGGCCGGCGCCAACCGGCTCGTCTCGCTCCTCGGCCTCGTCGCGCCGACGCCCGAGGCGCGCGAGGCTGCGGCGGCCCGCCCGGTGAGCGAGCGGCCCCTCGTGCTGGTCGGGCCGTACGAGCACCACTCGAACCTGCTCCCGTGGCGCGACAGCAGCGCCGACGTCGTCGCGGTTCCCGAGGATGCGGAGCAGGGCGGCGCCGACCTGGGTGCGCTCGAGGAGGCGCTGCTCGAGGCGAAGGCGGACGGGCGGCCTCTGGTCGTCGGCGCCTTCTCGGCCGCCTCCAACGTCACCGGCATCGTCGCGCGCGTCGACGACATCACCGCCTTGCTGCACACGCACGGCGCACACTCGCCGTCGAGGCGAGTCCGACGCGCGTCCGCGGCGTGTCCGATGACGTGTCCGCGACGTGCCCTGCAGGAGCGCTCGCCGTGTGGGACTACGCGTCGGCGGCGCCGTATGCGATCGAGCTGGCGATGCACCCGCCGCACGCGAGGACCGGCGCGAGCCTCTTCCTTGGAACCTTCCCGGAAGCTTCCCGCAGGCGATGAACCCGCCGCATGAGGATGCGGCGCGGGCGGCGCTCCTCGCCAAGGACGCGCTCTTCTTCTCGCCGCACAAGCTCGCGGGCGGGCCGCAGGCGTCGGGTATCCTCGTCTACAAGAAGAGCCTCGCGCGGCGCGGCGTCTCCTCGGCGCGGGGCCGGCGGGGCACTCGTCTCGGGCACTCTCGGCCCGTCTCGGGTGAGGTCCGAGGCTGGATATGCAGGCGCCGGGCGGCGGGACCGTCTTTTACGTCTCGCGCGAGGAGCACGTCTACGTCAAGAACGACGAGGAGCGCGAGGAGGGAGGCACGCCCGCCATCGTCGGCGCCATCCGCGCCGGCCTCGCGCTGCAGCTGCAAAAGGCCCCGCCCCGCCCGCGGCGGCGCCGCGCTTCCCCAGCGACCAAGCCGCTTCCCCCCCCCCCCCCCCCAACCCACGCGGCAGGCCGTCGGCGCGGCGGCGATCGCAGAGGCGGACGCCGCGCTCCTCGCGGCGACGCGCGCCGCGTGGGGCGCCCACCCACGGCTAGCGATCCTCGGCCACCCGACGGCCCGCCGGCTGCCGATCTTTGCGATCGCCATCCGCGCTTTCGACCCGGGCGGCGGAGGCGGGGAGGGCGAGGCAGCGACGCGGCCGCTGCTGCTGCACCACAACTTCGTCGTCGCGCTCCTCAACGACCTCTTCGGCATCCAGGCGCGCGGCGGCTGCATGTGCGCCGGCCCGTACTCGCAGGCGCTGCTCGGGATCGACTCTGCCCTGTCGGCCGCCCTCCAAGCGCAGCTCGTCAAGAAGGAGGACAACGAGGTGCTCCGCCCCGGCTACACCCGCGTCTCGCTCCCCTACTTCGCCGACGCCGCCACCGTCCGGTACGTGCTCGACGCGCTCCTCTTCGTCGCAGAGCATGGCTGGAAGCTGCTCCCGCAGTACACGTGCGACGCAGCCTCGGGCGAGTGGAGGCACCGCCCGCCCCAGCACCGCCCGCCCCAGCACCGCCCGCCCCAGCACCGCCCAGGAAGGGCGGACGGGAGGGGCCGAGGTGGCCCGAGCTTACCCGAGACTGCCCGAGAGTAGGCACGTCCACCAGAAGCGGCCCGCGCGCGCGTGGCTCGGCAGCGTGAGCTACGACGGCGGCCGGATGGCGTGGGGCGGCTCCGCGGGCGCTCCCGCGCAGCTGCGGGCCGACGAGCGGGGCGAGGCGGCGGCGGAGGCGCGGTACGCGTCCGCGCTCGCGGAGGCGCACGCGGTCGCCAAGGTCGCCTCGTCGGAGCTGCGCCGCAACACCGGCGCGCCGCTCGCCGGGCAGAGCTTGGGCGAGCTGCTTCCTCCCGAGGCGGCGCACCTCCGCTGGTTCGTGCTGCCGGCCGAGGCGGCCGCCATGCACAAGGGCAGACTTCCCGCCGCCCGCGCGCCGTTTGCGCCGCCCGCCTTTGCGCAGGCCGACGCCGCGCGCGCGCTCGCGCCGCATTCGGTGGCGGCGGCGGCGGGTGGCGGGGAGGCCGCCGCCGCCGGCCAGCCCGGTGCGGGGGAGGCAAAGGAGAGGGTCGGCGGGAGGGGCAACGCCGGCAAGAAGAAGAAGGGGCGGAAGGGGGGCGGCGGCGGCGGCGACGGGTGGGTCGAGCCCGACAAGAAGCTGAGCAACAAGGTCTTCCGCGCGGTGCTGCAGCACGGGATGCTGCGGCCGGGCGACCGCGTGCTGGTCGGCCTCTCGGGCGGCAAGGACTCGCTCTGCATGCTGCACGTGCTGCGCGCGCTGCAGAAGCGGACGCCCTTCCAGTGGGACCTCGGCGCGTGCACGGTCGACCCCAAGGCGGACGGCTTCGACCCCTCGCCGCTCGTGCCCTACCTCGAGGGCCTCGGCATCCCGTACTTTTACGAGGCGCACAACCTGATGGCGCTCGCCGAGCCGTGCATGGCCAAGGAGGGGAACCGCGTCTCGATCTGCTCCTTCTGCTCGCGCATGAAGCGCGGCGTGCTCTACGCCACCGCGCGGCGCGAGGGCTACAACGTGCTCGCCATGGCGCAGCACCTCGACGACCTCGCCGAGTCCTTCTTCATGTCGGCGCTGCACAACGGCGCGCTCCGCTCGATGAAGACGCACTACCTCATCGACGCCGCCGACCTGCGCGTGATCCGGCCGCTCGCATACGTGCGCGAGGCGGAGGCGGAGGCGTTTGCCGAGAGCAACCACCTGCCCGTCGTGTCGGAGACCTGCCCCGCGTGCTTCGAGGCGCCAAAGGAGCGGTACCGCGTCAAGTGCCTCCTCGCCACGCAGGAGGCGCTCTTCCCCGCCCTCTTCCAGTCGCTGCTCAAGACGATCCTCCCGCTGACGGAGCCACTCGTCGAGGACGTGGTGCGGCTGCGGCGCGAGGCGTACGGCCGCGCCGCCGGGCCGCCGCACGTGCCGCCCCCGATGCCGCCGCCGGCGGAGGGGGCGCTCGCCGAGATGGAGGCGGCCGCGAGGAAGGCGCACGAGCCCGCCGGAGTGTACGACGCGCGCGCCCTGTGGCGGGCGGCGCTCGCCGTGTCGCGGCAACGCCTCGGCGGCAGCGCAAAGGGGCGCGGCGGCGAGGGCGACGGAGACGGCGCCGCCGCGGCCGCCGCCGCGGCAGCGCTCGAGGAGGAGGACCTGTCCGCCTCGTGGTTTGGGGGCCACCTGGACGAGAATGGCAACTTTACGCGGGGCGGCGGGGGCGGCGGCGCGCAGACGCAGCCACGCAAGGAGGGCAGCCGCTGGGGTGAAGGGCGCGGTGCGCCGGCGGCAGGCGAGCGCGGTGTCGCCAGCGGCGAGGTGGCGCCGGGGGGCAGCTGGCAGCTGCTTGCGCTGGGTGTGGCGTGGTCACTGGGCTGCATCGCGTGGGCCAGCGTTTCGAAGGCGAGGGCGGGGCGTTGAGAGCGTTCTGAGTTTTCTCTCTGAGAATCTTTCTCTCACACGTGCACACAATAGAGCGCGCGAAACACTCCCCTGCGTCAAACTGCGCGTGCCTCCCCGTCTTTGTAGCCTGGCGTTTGTGCCCCGTTTGTGCCGCGTCCTGTGCCCCCGAGCGAGTTCGTCATTAGAATGTTACAACTAGTAGTTGAACTTGGGAACTAGAAAACGCACAGACGGAAAACGAGAGCGCAATACAACGAAAAGACAGGAATTCCGAGTGCGCGTACATTGCACATATTCACCCACATCGACATGCGAAATCCACACACCTAAGTGATCGCTCAAGTGTGAAACGTAAAATGCCGCGCACACAGTCACACAAGCACAAGGCACGAAAGAATACTCCGATACACATATACGTACATGCCCGCTCTCACAGACAGGGGGCCAGCACACCTAAGTCGCTAAAGTACCGCATAGTCAACACAAACACAAGGCAAGAATACTCGAGACGCATACGTACGTCAGTACAGGCCCAGTCTCAGGGGACTAGCAGAGCCAAAGACAACTTCACTGCGAGCACAGAGCGGTGGCATCGGACGGGTCCTGGGCCGAGCCCATTCAAGCAACCGTCTACGCGGCCAGAGGCTTGCTCTGCCGCGAGAACGGCCACCATCCGCGCGGCCGCCCTGGGCGAGCGGACTCCTGCCCCTTGGCCCCCTTCTTGGCGCTCCGCACGTGCCACGACCGGTTGCGCCCGGCGACAATTGATTGCCCCGCCAGAAGGGAGGACTTGAACAGGTGCATGTCGAAGCCGCGATGCAGCCTGTCATCATCCTTTGCGGGCGATGGCAGCGGCGAGGGTGTTGGCGACGAGAAGGACGCGAAGGGCGTTATCACCGGAGTTGGCGTCGGGGAGGCATTCGGGGTCACCGGCGGCGTGGAGCGGTGGGAGTGGTGCGCCTCAAAGTGCTCGTTCATGCGCTCGAGCGTGAGCTCGGCCTTGCCGTCCGGCAGCCCCGCGGCGCGCTGGACCGCGTCGAGAAAGAGTTCCTGAGCCTCGTGCGTGTCGTAGCCGGCAATGTCTCGCAGAGCCTTCTTGATCTGGGCACGGGTCAGCACGCCGGCCTGGCCGACGGCGGCGAGCTCGGCGCGGGAGAGGGCTCCGTCGCCATTCGAGTCGAGCGCGCGGAAGATGTACACCCAGGCGTCGGCCGCGCAGTGCTTCATGAGAAGCGACTCGATCGGGATCGCCGCGCACTCTGCAGGGACGATCTCGGGGTGGGCGCGGATGTAGGCCGTGATCGAGGGCGCGTCGTGGACGAGGGAGACGCCGTCGTCCTCGAAGATGAAGCCGACGCGATAGCTGCGCTCGTCGCACAGCGGCTCGCCGCCGATCGCGGCCACGAAGCCCTCCTCGTCCGTCTCGATTCGATCGTCGTGCTGCAGCCAACCCGGGTACGGGCGCTGCCACGTCTCGCGCAGGCCTCCGCGCAGCAACGACCCCGGGAGCTCGACCACGACGATCTCATACGGCTTGGTCATTTCCGAGCGGAGCACCTCGAGGGTGAACTGCGTCTCGTCGGGATAGTCGCGTCCGCCCTTGATGTTGCCGCCACGAATGAGGCAGCACTCGCAGTGGAGGTCGGCCCCGGGCGCCACCTCTGCGTTGAGCGCGTCGCGCAGCTTGGAGCAGATGAAGGTGGCGGTGGTGGTGCGGCGCTCGCGCGTGCCGACCGATGAGAAGGGGCGGAGCTCGGGCGTGATCACGCCCAGCTGCGTGTACTTGAGCGAGTCGAGGATGGAGTACGCCTTCTTGACGCGCTGCTGCAGCGCGGGGTCCGGCGCGAAGTCGGACACCTCGATGGTCTCAGCATGGATGACTGGCTCGCCATGCTCGCCGTCCGGCCAGTGGATGTCGACGATGATAGCCGCCTTTGCGTCCTGGCCGGGCTTGAGGATGCGCGTGCCGTTGACGATGCGGTCGACACGGTGGTGGTCGTGTCCAGAGAGGATGACTGGGAAGTCGAACTCGCGGCACGTCCGCTCGTCCTGCGGCTCGTAGAGGTGGCAGAGCGGGACGACGAGGTCGCAGCCCTGCTGCTCGAGCTTGGGCTTGTACTCGGCCATCTTCTCCCACGGGTCCTCGATGGTCGCTCCGCCGAAGGCGCCCTTCTTGTAGAGCTTGTCGTCCACCCCGTCGGAGAGCAGCCCGATCAGACCGACCTTGCGCATGTTGCTGCCATCCGCGGATGCCAGGTGGATGGTGGCGGCATCTGTCTGGCACGCCGACCCCTTGAAGGACTCGTGGGACGTCATGTTGGTGTTGATCCAGGTGCCCTGGTACTCGCGCTCGCGTGCGCAAACCTCCTTGTGCGGCAGGTCGTCCTCGTGGTTGCCCCAGGTGAGGTAGTCGATCGGAGTGGCGTTGATCAGGTCCATCATCCCCTTGCCTTGGTCGAGCGTCGAGAGCAGGTACGGCATCAGGAAGTCACCCGTCAGCATCGAGACGGTCTTGCCCGCGCCGCCGGTCGCGTCGCTGAACTCTGCCCGCTTTGCCTTGATGAGCGTCGAGAGGTGAGGAAAGTAGTCGAGCCTGCGGGTCGGGCGGAGGATTGGTTAGTGCTGGGCGAGTCGGGTCAGAACGCTAGCGCAAGGGAGGCATACATGTACACGTCCGTGACGTGGACGATACGCAGCGCCGCGGCCGAGCGGCCGAGCTCGCAGCTGCTTGAAAGCTGCGACGAGACTTCGGGGATACACGGGAGCGTCTTGAGCACTTCGAGGATCTCGGGATAATGGTCATCGTCGATGTCGTCGTCATCGCCGAGGTGTTTGCAGAGCGGAGGAGCGCGGCTCCATTCGTCTTCGGCCAAGCCGCGATTGAGAGGAGTGCTGTGGATGGTGGGCGCGCGACCGGACGGCTGAGGGGCAACCATTGTTGAGTTGGCAGAGATCGGGGAAGGACACCTCGAGTCGGCGAAGACGTTCCTTACGGGACTCAATCACCTTTGGAATATTCCCTTTTTCCCTTCCGTACTTAGTGAGATCTCGTCGGGTTGTGCGCTGGGCTGCCCGACAGCAAGCCTCTCACTCGAGCAGAGCCGGCACAAGCCCACCCCCCGTGCGCAGCACGTCTCTGACACCCTTGCCCGCGCCGGGCGGCGGCTGCTCCCTCGCCGCGCCCCACCGCCTCCAAAACTCCTCCCTCCCCAAATCTCGGCCTCCGTAGTCGTCGTACTCGGCCATGTACCCAATCTTGCAGCCCCAGTACCAGAGGTCGTAGCCGCACGCCGCGAGGAGGTGGCCGACCGCCTTAGTCAGCAGCGAGCCTGGCGACCGCCGGTCCCTGACCAGCGTGGCCATGCTGAAGTCGTGCCACACGCGGCCGACGCCGAAGCCTGCGACGACGGCCACCAGTCGGAGGCTTCTGCCTGCACCCCCGCCGGCGCTCGTCCTGTGCCGCTCTTGCTCGCTGCTCCTCTCGCTCGTCCCGTCGTGAGGACCACCGCCGCTGCTCCCGCCGCCGCCGCCGCCGCCCCCGCCGCAGTCCGCCTCGCTCTCGCCTGCGGTCTGCTCCCACAGCTCGAACATGCAGAGGTCCACTCTGCCGCCATCGCCCCCGCCGCCGCCGCCGCCGCCATCACCGCTGCTTTGCTCGCCGCAGCCGCCCCACGGCTCGCCCTGCAGCCCCACCAGCAGCGTCCGCAGCCGCTCCGTCAGCCACGTCGAGCCGCTGCCCTTGGCCAAGTGGTAGTCTTGCAGCCTGCGCAGGCTGCTCTCAAAGCTCCGGTTCACCGACATGACAAAGTCGCGGCCGTGCCGGCGGACGCGCTTGCTCTTGTCCCACCGGACCGGCGATCCCGCGCCTCCGGCCTCGCCGCGCCCGCCCTCGCGGCCGGCGCGCAAGTCGATGCAGTACCGCTCCTCGGGGTTGATGATGGGCACGAGGGAGTCCGAGTGCGGCAGCGGGAAGAGGCCGTACCGGAAGAGCTCGCAGACGAAGGCCGGCCGCCAGCACGCGGGCGCCGCCGCCCACAGCCAGTTGCCGGGATGCGTCATCACCCACGGGCCGAGCGGCAAGTGCGCGTCGCCGACATAGAGCTCGGGCTGCATGCCGTGCGACGCCAGGTCGGGCGGGAGCGCCTCGGTGCGCAGCTGCGCCGAAGCGAGCAATCGGCAGGCGGCCCGCGCGCGAACGCAAGCGGCGTCCTCGCTCTGCGCGGCGTCTTGCGCGGGCAGCCGCCAGACCTGCAGCTCGAGCTCGCTGTCGGGCGGCAAGAAGTGGAAGCGGCAGAGCTGGCGGCCCGCCGCCGGAGCGAGCTCGTGGCCGTCGATGGGTTGGCCGCAGCTGCTGAAGAGCACAGCGTGGAAGGTGGCGGCCGCGGCGTCCTCGGTGCCCCCCGCGGCACCCTCCGAGCTGCCGCAGCTCTTTGAGGCGTCGGCTCCGCACGTTTCGCCTCCGCCGCCGCCGCCGCCGCCGCCGCCGCCGCGGGCTGCGCCGAGGCCGAGCGATACCTCCACTGCGACCGAGTTGACGGTGCTCTCGCGGCAGGTGAGCACCGCCTGCGGCGCCTCGGGGCGCGGCACAGCTCGCTCGCCCTCGTCTCCCGGCGCGTCGCTCCCGCTCGCTTCCGCGCCGGCGCTCTCCAGCCCCGGCGCGTCGCTGCCGCTCGCTTCCGCGCCGGCGCTCTCCAGCCGGAAGGGCGGCGAGGAGCGGAAGTGGAGCGGCTCGCCGCTCACGGGGTGCGTGAAGCCCAGCTCCGCCGCGTGGAGGTGCAGCCGGTGGCGGGCGGGACCAGCCTCCTGGGCCTCGGCGTGGGCGGTGCCGCCGCCGCTGCCGCCACCACCTTCGTTCCCTCGGCCTTGGCCGCCGCTGCCCGGGGGAGAGTACAGGCCATCGCCGGCAATCGGGCAGCCCAGCGCGAGGCAGTGCATGCGAAGCTGGTGCCGCCGGCCGGTCTCTGGGCGCAGCACGAGCCGACTCGCGTGCGGCGTGCTGCGCTCGACGGCCCACTCGGTGACCGCGGGCTTGCCGGACGCGCCAAAGTCGACGCGCTGCCGTGGCCTGCGGTCGGGGTCGCTCGACAGCGGAAGGCGAACCGTGCCGAGCCTCGCGGGAGGAGCGCCCACGACGTCCGCCACGTACGACTTGCGCACCGTCCGCGACGCAAACTGCATCGAGAGCGAGCGCATGGCCTCGCTGCCGAGGGCTAGCACGAGGAGGCCAGACGTCTCCCAGTCGAGCCGGTGCGGGATCCGCACGTCAGCATCCGCGCCGAGGAGCGCCTCGACGCGAGCGCGCACCGAGTCCTTGATGCGCTCTGTGTTCTCCGTCGGCAGGTAGGCTGGCTTCTCGACGACCACACAGTGTTCGTCGCGGTGCACAACGCACAGAGGGCCGGTGGGCGGAACCAGCTCCGGCTCGGAAGTGTAGGCTGGCGCGTCGGACCATGCGATGCTATGGAGCTCGCCGTCGCCGCTGCGCAGCGCGGCGCCCGGCGGTACGGCGGTGACGATCATCGGACCTTGAGGGGTGTGAAGTGCTGATTCTGTGCGATTTCGCGCCGGTGTTAAGTGGCCTGGCGTGGAGAAGGCGCAGCAGTCCAAGCGAGAAAGCGGATAAAAACACCGATCTTCAACTGAGCCCCCCCGGGGGACCATCGGTGCCTGCAGAGCGAGGCATCTACCCTTATAAGTCTCTCGTGTCGGCGCCGACGCTCTTTTAACGTAGAACGTCCCAGCTGAACACCGCCCGCCGACGATCGATCAGTCCACAATCGTCGGCCCGCAGCGACCCGCAGCGATGGATGCCGCCGCCCCCACGGCCCCTGCGGCCGACGCGCCGATGCACGACCGGCCTCCGTCGGACGGCTCTCCGGCCTCTCCGGCCGCTGCCGCCCGCGCTGCTGCCGATCCGGTCCCTCTCACGCTCAGCAATACCCGCACAACCTACGACAACTTTGAGGTCGTCGGCTTTGGCCAGGTGCAGCCACCACACCTGCTTGCCTCCATGTTCACGCTTCGCGCCCCTCCCCCCCTTCTGACGCCGCCGTATGACCTTAGGTGAGGGGCACGACTACCCGCCTGGAAGGCGCTCTCATCAGCAAGTCAATTGCAAACCGTCCCGGCATGCCGACCTACCTTCAGCAAATGCCGACCTACCATCAGCATGCCGCCCGCACCGAGTGCGTGATCGACGCCTTCGTCGGCGATCTGCCCTGGAAATCTGGCTGCGGGCCTGCGCTCATCGTGCGGACGGTCAACGACGGTCTCCACTACGCTCTCACCCCGGATCGATCCGGTCCCTCTCACGCTCAGCGATATCCGCACAAGCTACGACAACTTTGAGGTCGCCGGCTTTGGCCAGGTGCAGCAACCACCTGCTTGCCTCCATGTTCACGCTTCGCGCCCCTCCCCCCTCTCTGACGCCGCCGTCTGACCTTAGGTGAGGGGCACGACTACCCGCCTGGAAGGCGCTCTCAGCAAGTCACCCAGGCACCAACTCCTGGGCGTTTACGCTTGGCTACGAAACCATGCAGTGGATGCAGCTCGATCAAAACGGCGACGCCAACAGCTGGTCCCTGGGCGAGTTCCTTGCCCAGGATGAGGTGCGAGCCATGATGCTCGACCGAGCGTGCACCAAGTCACTCACATTCCGTGAGTTCGTCAACGGGCCGAACGTCTCCAATTCGACGGCGATCTCGAACTCCAACAACTGGACCGGTGCACCAGCCACGGAGGACGATGGCTCCCTCGACGACATCCCTTCATCGACGGACGCCTTCACCGCCGCCGGCCCTGGGCCATCCAGCGCGGCCTCCGACGGCCTGCACGTGATCGAGCGGGTACAGAAACGGTGGCTGCCACAGCTCACACCCTAATCGATCTGCCTTAGGCACGGAGCCAACTGAGCCATCGCGCATGCCCGCATCGCGTGCGGCTCCGAGGTCTCCCGCCGAGACCGGCTCGGCGCGGCGCGTGGCCGCACGCCGCCGTTGAAAAGGCGATAGGACCGAGGGGAGAGCGCCGGCCACATCGAGCGAGCGCTGACGTGTAAGGTGTCTGTGCTGCTCCGGTGTGTGTGGGATTCTGCCTCCCCCCCATCTGTGCGGCGAGGTGTTTGCGGCGCGATGCCCGATCGTGCGCGATAGCCTCCCTTTGTGCGTGGTGTGTCGGTGTGTCGGGGTCGTCCGGAGCGTGTGGCGGCGTCGTTGCATGCAGCGACTGCTCCACGTGCCACGACTGCTTTGACTGACGTGACTGACTGATGAGACATGAGTGCTGATGGATGATCTCCGACAACCCAAAACAAAAATGCAAATGCGGAGTGCCCACTTTGGCGTGCCGCAGATCCTGCGTCTCTCACTGCCCGAACAACAGAGAGGCGGGTACCGCCGCAGGTCCCACACTAGTAGACCGAAAGTAAGATCGTTCGGTGCAGAAACCCCGGCCATGCCCATGTAACGCAATTGTGCTCGATTTTCTACCCTTATAAGTCTCTCGTGTCGGCGCCGACGCTCTTGGTTTAACCGTAGAACGTCCCAGCCGAAATCCGCCCGCCGACGATCGATCAGTCCACAATCGTCGGCCCGCAGCGACCCGCAGCGATGGATGCCGCCGCCCCCCCGGCCCCTGCGGCTGACGCGCCGATGCACGACCGGCCTCCGTCGGATGGCTCTCCGGCCTCTCCGGCCGCTGACGCGGCCGCCCATGCTGCTGCCGATCCTTTCCCTCTCACGCTCAGCGATATCCGCACAAGCTACGAGAACTTCGAGGTCGCCGGCTTTGGCCAGGTGCAGCCACCACCTGCTTGCCTCCATGTTCACGCTTCGCCCCCCCCTCCCCCCCCGCCCCCCCCCTTCTGACGCCGCCGTCTGACCTTAGGTGAGGGGCACGACTACCCGCCTGGAAGGCGCTCTCATCAGCAAGTCACCCAGGCACCAACTCCTGGGCGTTTACGCTTGACTACGAAACCATGCAGTGGATGCAGGTCGATCAAAACGGCGACGCCAACAGCTGGCCCCTGGGCGAGTTCCTTGCGCTCAGGATGAGGTGCGAGCCATGATGCTCGACTATCAGCGTGCACCAAGTCGCTCACATTCCGTGAGTTCGTCAACGGGCCGAACTCTCCAAGTCGACGGCGATCTCGAACTCCGACAACTGGACCGGTGCACCGCCGCGTAGGACGATGGCTCCCTCGAGGACATCCCTTCATCGACGGACGCCTTCGCCGCCGCCGGCCCTGGGCCATCCATCGCGGCCTCCGACGGCCTGCACGTGATCGAGGTACAGAAACGGTGGCTGCCGCAGCTCACACCCTAATCTATCTGCCTTAGGCACGGAGCCAACGGAGCCATCGCGCACGCCCGCATCGCGTGCGGCTCCGAGGTCTCCCGCCGAGACCGGCTCGGCGCGGCGCGTGGCCGCACGCCGTCGTTGAAAAGGCGATAGGAGAGGGGAGAGCGCCGGCCACATCGAGCGAGCGCTGACGTGTAAGGTGTCTGCGCTGCTCCGGTGTGTGTGGGATTATGCCTCCCCCCATCTGTGCGGCGAGGTGTTTGCGGTGGGTGCGATGGCCGATCGTGTTTGCGCGATAAGTCAGTCAAAGCAGTCGTGGCACGTGAGCAGAGTCGCTGCATGCAACGGCGACTGCTTTGACTGACTTATCAGTGGCACGCGTCTCTCACTGCCCGCGAACAACAGAGGCGGGTCCGCCGCAGGTCCCCCACTAGTCTTGTGAAAGAGGCGCTCGGACACACGTGAACGAAACGGAGGCGCCTGGGATAAAAACAACAACCACTGCGGGACGCGGAAACGAAAGGTGTGTAGACCCCAGTTCCATCGGACGCAGCGAGCGTCGGGACTCCGTCCCAGCAGACGAAGTCTTCCTCGTGGGCTCCACGGCCCGGATCGCGAGCTCGATCGATACGCGACGCGCTCGGCCTCCGCTTGCGGCTGCCGCAAGAGCGGCTGTCTCACGGCAGCGTCTCGCCGGTTGCCGGATAGGAGAGTACAGAACGTCTGGAGTGTAACTGTGTACGTGAGATCGGTTTTGATAACAAGCACGGTCGATCCGTCAAAGCGATACACTCGTTCCTATCTCGCTGGAGGGCTGGCACGGAGCTCTGTGCCGACAAACAGGAAGAGCCGAGCGGCAAGAAGGGCTCGATGGGGAGTGAGAAGCGTCAGAAGAGCTTTAGGTGTAACCTGAAGTCCGTCGTGACGCTCTTGTTTCCCCCCAGGTTTGACCGCGCAGCTTCCAAAACTCGACGATATCTTCCGGAAAGACTGAACGTCCCGCAGAGCGGCAGCATGAGAGGCGCAGAGAGGCTGCGAGTGCTCGACGAGTCTTGCGAGCTGCGCGTTCAAACCTGGGGGGAACCGACCGCATCAAGGCGGACTTCCGAAACCTGGGTGAGCACCTCTGACGGTTCTCGCTCCCCATCGAGCCCTTCTTGCCGCTCGGCTCTTCCTGTTTGTCGGCACAGAGCTCCGTGCCAGCCCTCCAGCGAGATAGCGAACGAGTGTATCGCTTTGACGGATCGACCGTGCTTGTTATCAAAACCGATCTCACGTACACAGTTACACTCCAGACGTTCTGTACTCTCCTATCCGGCAACCGGCGAGACGCTGCCGTGAGCCAGCCGCTCTTGCGGCAGCCGCCAGCGGAGGCCGAGCGCGTCGCGTGAGTTGAAATCGATGTGGCGAGTCGACCGCCAGTCCGTACGATGGCACTGCGACCGCGGCGGCTGCTGGCGAGGGCAGCAGCGGTGCGCGCGAGGCGGCAGCGTAATCGGGTCCGAAGTCCGGACCCGATTTGGGGTCGACACACCTTTTCCCCGAGTGGTCGCGCAGAAGAGAAGGATCGGGGCCGAGTTCGCACCTTCGTCCTCTCCGCGTGGGCCCATTTAGGAATCCTGTATGAACCGCTCCCAATCGCCCCCGACGCACGAGTTGGAAGGCGAGGCGGCGACGTTCGACATCTTTGTGCAGAGTGTCGACCTCCGCTGGTGCCTGCTGCTCCACTGCGACTTTGCGTCCCTCGCGGCGGTGCGGCAGCTCGCCTCTCCCTTCACGGCGGATGTGCCACTTGTTCTCAACAGCGAGCACTGGTGCGCGTCCGCCAGCAACCGCACGGCGCTGCACGCCGCGCAGTGGGCCGCCGGCGGCGACACCCTGCACGTGGCCTTGAGCCAGCCGCTCGGACAGACCGTCGTGTCGCTGCGCTGCTCGACTGCCGGCGAGCGGGAGCTCGCGCTCGCAGGCGGAGCCGAGGTGGACGAGGAGGGCGAGGCGGGCGGCGACCTCGTGATGGTGGTGCTGCATCCGATCGGTCACGAGAGCCGGCTGACCGCGGCTCAACTCGGCGACATGGCGCCGTCGCTCGCCCAGTTTCTGCATGAGCCGCTCACGCGCACGACGACGGAGGTCGAGGGCCCGACGCACAACCAGGCGGTCAAGAGCGTCTCGGCGGCTCCGGACGCCATCGTCCGCGCCGACCGGCCAGACGCGGCGCCGCCGCCCGCCCGCGGTCTGCGCGCGCGCCGATCGCGCCACCTCGTCGCGAGCGGCGGCCTCGACGGCGCGCCTCTCCCCGCCTCGGCACCGGCACACTCACGAGCGATTGCGCGCTTCACGCACAGTCTATCGCCGGTAGGCATCTCGCGCGTGTCTGGCGTCACTCCCCGCGGCAACACCCTCGAGGCGGCGCCGCTCTCCGTCGCCCTCCGGCAACGCTTCCCCCCACCCCCGCAGAGGTGAGGAGAGGCGGCCACTCGGCTGCACGTCGGCCGCATCTCCCGTCGCAGGCACGGCTCCCACCTCACCGCCGCAGAGGTGCGGCCGAGCGGGGCGCTGCTGACGGCGTGCGAACGCAGCAGCACGCTGCGTGTACACGAGCTCGAGCCGGCGCACCGCACCGCTCCCTCTCCCCTTCCACCACCTGCTTTTCCTCCCCCCCCCCCCCCCCTTCTCTGCCACCTCCTCCTCCACCCCCCTCCCTCACCAGCCAGCATGACCCGCCGCAGGTCCACCTCGCCGCGGCGCGCAGCCATCGCCGCCAGGGTGTGTCCACGACCCTTGCCGCACCCTTCTCGCTCCCTCCCTGCAGGAGCGCATCGCCGCCGCCGGGATGCAGCCGCCAAACCCGTCCACGCACGAGTGGAACTACGTCGAGCGCGCGCGCCTCTCCCACACGGACGCGCCCCCCTCTGTCGCCGCCGCCGCGTGGCTCGACGACGGCACGCTCGTCGAGGCTGGCTACGCAGAGCAGGTGCCTCTGCCCCCTCCCTCCCCGCCGCCGCCTCCCTCCTCCCCGCCCCCTCCCAACTCCCCTGCCCCTCACCCACCCGCCGCTCACCCTCCGCTTGCCCCCCCGCCCCTCGCCGTCAGCCCGAGCAGGCCGGCGCGGCGGCCGCCGCCGCAGGGGGTGGGGCCCCTCCCTGCCGCGTGCTGCGGACGTGGCGCCTCAGCAGCGACCACTCCTCCTCCACGCCTCCGCCGGCCGTCTCCGTGGCGCGCTACTACGACGGCCGAGGGGAGGCGCGACTCGACGACGGCGCGGGAGATGTGTCGGCGCTCGCGGCCGCCGACGGCCTCGTCGTCGTCACTCACAACCCGCTCGACCTCACCCGGCCGCCGCCGCACCTCGGGTCCGGCTTCACGGACGTGTGGCGCGCGGTGCCAAGCCAATCTGGCGACGCGAGCGCGCCGCCCGAGCTGGCGCCGCGTTGGCTTCCTGTGCGGCCCGTGTGGGGCTGTGCCGGTGGTCTGACCGCGCACCGCCGCCGGCCGGGTAGGCGCCGCTCCGCCGGCTGCGCGAGCACACCGCGCCGCTGTACGCGTGTGCGATCGGGGGCGCGCGGAGACGATCGCTGCCCGAGACGCCCTCCCTCCCGACGCCCTCCCTCCCGCTCCCAAACGCCGCGACTTGCGGTGCTCAGGCGGGCTGATTGCCACCGGCGGCGACGACAACACCGTGCGGCTGTGGCCGGCGGGCACCGAGGCGGAGCGGGTGTATTGGCTGGCGCTGACGGACGTCGCCGTGGCGCTCGGCCGCATCGGGCTGCAGAGGTACTCCGCCGCCTTTGACGCGGCGGGGTACCTCGACCTCGAGTCGCTCCAACGGATGGACGCCTCGCAGCGGGCGGAGGTGGCCAAGGCGACGGGGATGAAGCACGGACACGCGCGTAAGTTTGAGAAGTATGGCCTCGACGCAAGCGCCCCGTCGTACTACAGCTACAGCCGGTGGAGCAACGACGCGGGAGCTTCTCTGCAGACGCTGCAGCTGCCGGGCAAGGCGCGCGCCCTTCAGCGCAGTGATACCACGCGTCTCTCCGCCCCGCTGGCCGATGGGCAAAGCTTGGCCGCCGCGGTCCCACACTCCCCGCCCTCGCGCTGCAAAGGTGTGGGCCCTCGCGCTCGACTGCCACCTGCTCGTGGCGGGAGGAGCCCTCTCGGCGGACGGCGAGGGAGGCCACATCTGCGTGATGCTCTTCGACGTCGCTCGCCTCGCCGCCGGCCGCGGCGCCGCCACCGCGCTGCGCACGCTGCGAGCGCAGTCGCACGCGCGCCAGTGGGGAGTGCGCTCGGTGGCGACGCACGGCGGCACCGCGGTCGTGGCGGGCGGCGACGACGGCGTTGTGCACGTGTGGACGCTGGCGGAGAAGGGGAAGGCCGAGGGAGAGATGGAGAGCGGACGAGTGAGTGAGGTGTGAGCGACGGACGTGTCACAAGTAACATCACACACCGTGTCGCGTGTGGGTTTCCTCATACCGCGTAATATTGCGAGTATATACGGTGCGCTTCTTCACATGACTCATGAGTCAACACACATGGTGTCATGGGACCCTCCTCTCTCACACATATGTGACTTGTGACATAATCCATAAAAAATCGTAAACCCTCGACCCTTCCCCAGGTCGCTGCTGGAGGTGTGTGAGCTGTGAGAGTTGAAAAGAGAGTTTCAGAGAGAGATAATGATAAATCGCTTAGGCCTTAGCGCGTGTGAGGTGTGGGCAAACAATTTGATTGAGATGAATTTCGTCAAGCCGCCGCCACGTCTATGTGTGGTTCTGGGGCCGTTCCTTCCCGGACAAGCTCAAACCCCTTGGCCCTCCGCGCGGGTAGGATCGGACCCAGCGGCAGACCAAGGCGGTGGGGGCGAGGTCCCGGAGTGCGCGAGTCGCCGCGCCGTCTCTTGCGCCTCGCCCAGACGCACTGGGCGACGCACGCCACCACAAAGGCGAGGGCGAAGAGGGAGGAATTCAGGAGTCGCATGACCACGCGTGCCTGCGGGGACGGCGGCAGCCTACCTGGCCCGAGGCGCGGCAGAAGCTGCGGCGGAGGCGGAGGCGGCGGCGTCCGAGGCGCAGGCGACCGTCCCTCGCCCTCGTCGCCCTCGCCCTCGCCCTCATCCCCTTCGCCCGCACCCTCGTCGTCTGCCTCGGCTCCGCCCTCCTCGCCCTCCTCGCCCTCCTCGCCCTCCTCGCCCTCCTCGCCCTCCTCGCCCTCCTCGCCCTCCTCGCCCTCCTCGCCCTCGTCAACTCCTGCCGGCCACTGGGGAGGCGGCGGCGGCGGCGCGCGCGGCTGCACGAGCGCGTGCTGGTATCTCCGGATGCCCTCGCACGTCCAGCAAGGGACGAGCGCGCAGCACTTGTCGCGCACCCAGCCGTCCGCGCGCCATGTCGGCCACCCAGACGGCCTGCGGTGGCACCAGCCCGCATAGGGCTCCTCCGCCCACGAGCCGAAGAGCGGCAGAGAGACGCAGCTGAAGCAGGAGTCGGCGGGCGCCGCCGCGGGCAGAGTGTCGATGGCGCTGGAGAAGGATTCGCCAGCGGCGCTACCACAGGGCGTTGTGCAGGCCGGCTCGAGCCTTGTCCGGCACGGTGGAGGCGGAGGCGCGGGCGGCTCTGGAGATGGTGGCGGCGGCGCCGGCGGCGCTGGCGGAGGAGCTGGCAGCGGTGGAGGCGGCCATTTGAAGGCCCAAAAGGAGTGTGGGTCATGCTGCGGGTGACGATGCGGGCGGAGTCGGCGAGGCTGCCCCATATTGTGCGTTACTGCGTCAACTGGCTTTCCGCGTCCTCACTGTCCTGAAAGGGGAGGCAGGGAGGCTCGCCGCCGTTCACACGCCGCCGTTCACAGACCTGGTTATTGAGTGAGAAAAATACCCCAGCGCTGCGCGCTGGTTATGAGAGGTTGAGATGCGAGCGCCCTGGAGGCACTGGGGATGGGGGGAGGCTACCCGCGGGCCTTTGAAGGCCCGCGCGCAGGGGGGTTGGGACATTGTCATTGAGAGCGCTACGCGAGCGGCCGTGCTCGGGGTCGGGCACTGCGAATTCTGAATTCTTCCCCAAACACCCCAAAGCGATCGGCGTGTCCCGAGCCGCCTGGTGCTCTCCCCATGCGGCTCGAGCATCCGCCGACGCTTTCGTCGGTCGCGCCATACAGGAATCAGCCAGGCAAACGCGCGCTCATCCCCGCCGTCTTTGCCATCCTCTACGCGCTCGCCGGCAGCTACGTGTGGCAGACCATCGGTGACCCGTACAAGCAGGCGTTGGTTGAGCGCGACCGGCTCGATGCGCTGGCAAAAGCCAAGGCTGGCGAGGACGGCGCCGCCGACAGCGGCTGGGTCGGAGCGGACGAGCTTCCCGCCGCCGCGGCGGGCGGGGGCGGCGCCGGCAAGGCGGCGGAGATGCACGATCCGTTTGCGGACGATGAGCTCTTCGAGGACGACGAGTCCGCGCCGAGCCGTGCGGGCGGCGGCGGCGGAGGAGGAGGAGGCGGCGGCGGCAAGGTGAGCGAGCTCAAGCCCGCCAAGTCGGCGCTCGAGTACTACACCGAGGCGAGTAGCGCGAGGCTGAAGCAGGCGCTGCCTGGCGTGGGCGACGACGAGGTGGCGGAGATGGCCAAGGCAGAGTGGCTCGCCCTCGACGGGGGCTCGCAGAGCAAGTTCGCCCAGATGGCGGAGGTCGACCGCAAGCGCTTCGAGCGCGAGAAGCGCGAGGCCCTCGCCGGCGGCAAGGGTAAGAACGCCACGGTCGACGCAGAGCTCGAGGAGGTGCCGCCTGTCCCAACCCCTCCCCCCAGCCTCTCTCGGAGCCCGCCCTCGCACCCCGCCCCCCCCCCGCCGCCCCCCGCGGCCCTTCTTCCCCTCCTTTCCGCACGCACGCCCCCCGGTTTTGACCCCCCCCCCCCCCCCCCCCCCCGCAGATCGAGAAGAAGGAGCGGCCCCTTCCCCACGAGTGGCTGCCCTCTGCCGGAGCCTGCGTGCTGCTCTTCCTCCTCTGCACATGCAACGCGCTCTTCTACCTCATGCCCCGCTGGCAGATCGACTTTCGGCTGCGCGCCTTCTACGCGCCCGCCCGCTCGCTCGAGCCCGGCGTCTACCTCTGCTTTAAGCCAGAGAAGCACAAGGGCAAGCCCGCGCTCGCGCGTGTCTCCCGCTCCACTCGCACCGGCCGCCCCCGCCGCCCGCGGTGTGCAGCGCAGTGCTGGAGCCTGTCTGGAGCCTGCCTGCAGCCTCGCCTGTAGGCCGCCTCGTCTGCGAGTTCCAGCGCCAGCGCTACGAGCTCTTCATGCGCGGCGACGCCGCCGCGGAGGACGAGCCGGTGGCAGACGGCTACGACGGCGCGGTGAGGCTGATGCGCTGCCCGGTCGGGCTGCCCGCGTCGCATTACGCGGCCTCGGCCGGGCTGGCCAAGAATGAGGACGTGTCGCTGCGCGCCGAGCAGTTCGGCCCCAACGTGCTCTCCGTCAAGACGCCGCGGTTCGTCGACCTGTACATCGAGCAGCTCCTCTCCCCGCTCGTCATCTTTCAGATGTTTTGCTCGGTGCTGTGGCTCCTCGACGCGGTCTCGTACGGCTTCACCGCCTTCCAGGTCTTCACGATCCTCCTCCTCGAGTCGACCTCGGTCATGCAGCGGCAGCGCACCTTCAAGACCCTCAACTCGATGTCCGCCAAGCCGTTTGGCGTCTTTGTCTTCCGCACGAAGGCCTGGCAGCGCGCCTCCACCGCCGGCTTGCTTCGATTGGTTGCGAGCGATGGATGGTTGATGGATAGGCCTGGCAGCGCGTCTCCACGGTCGACCTGCTTCCAGGAGACCTCATCTCGCTCCTCCCGCCTCGCAAGCCGGGCACGCCCGCGCCGGCGGCCGGCCAGCCCGCCCCCGGCGCCACGCCGCCTCCGCCGGGCGAGCCGATCAACGACGTGGTGCCGTGCGACTGCCTGCTGCTGCGCGGCTCTGCGGTGGTCAACGAGGCGACGCTGACCGGCGAGTCGGTGCCGCAGATGAAGGACAGGCTCGCGGTGGAGCCGGCGACGGCGGGCCGCGCGCTCGACATCGAGGGCGGCGACCGCGTCCACGCCCTCTTTGCGGGCACGTCCATCATCGCTGCGATGCAGCAGAGCTCTGCCGGCGCCGACTCGGCGGGCACGGGTGTGCCTGCGACGCCGGACGGCGGCTGCCTCTGCTACGTGCTGCGCACGGGCTTCTCGAGCTCGCAGGGCGAGCTGATGCAGATGATCGAGTTCTCGCAGCAGGCGGTCTCGGACGACTCCAAGGAGACGATGGCGGCGCTGCTGCTGCTCTTTGCGTTTGCCTGCGTCTCGGCGGGCTACGTCTTCCACAAGGGGCTCGAGAAGGGCGACCGCACCACGCACGAGCTGCTGCTGCGCTGCGTCATCATCCTCACGTCCGTCGTGCCGCGCCACCTGCCGATGCAGACGGCGATGGCAGTCAACACCGCCCTCATGGCGCTGCTCAAGGCGGGCATCTTTTGCACCGAGCCCTTCCGGCTGCCGATGGCCGGCAAGGTGGACGCCGTCTTCTTTGACAAGACGGGCACGCTCACCTCGGACAAGCTCGTCCCCGTCGGCATCCTCGACGCGGGCGCGGGCGCATCCGCCAAGCCGCCGCAGCAGCGGCCCGTCGTCGACGCGTCGCCCGACTGCGCGGTGGTGCTCGCGGGCTGCCACTCCCTCGTCGCCATCGAAGGCTCCTGCGCCGTTGGGCGACCCGATCGCGGGAGGCCAGGCCGCCCCTCAGCCTTGCCGCGACCTTCCGCGTAGGCTCCAAGCTCGTGGGCGACCCGATCGAGACGGCCGCGCTGGAGGGGATCGGGTGGAGGTACGACGCCCCCTCGCAGACGGCAAAGCCGGGCGACTCGGAGCCGCTCGAGCGCGCGATCGGCGCTCTCAAGAAGCGGATCGAGGCGGCGCCGGCGCCGGCGGCGGGGGCGGGCGCCGTGGCGGCGGCGGGATCGGCGGCGCCCGTCTCGGGCAAGCAGCTCGAGGCGCTCAAGGGCGAGCTCGCCAAGGCGCAGGCGGAGCTGAAGCGCGTGCAGGAGTCGAAGGCGCGCTGCCCGGTGACGGCGGTGCGGATCGTGCACCGGCACCACTTCTCGTCGGCGCTGCAGCGCATGTCGACCATCACAAAGGTGACGCAGCGCTCGGGCGGCACTGCCTACCGCGTGCTCGTCAAGGGCTCGCCCGAGGCCGTCCGCATGCTGCTGCGGTCGGGCGGCGAGCCGGCGTGGTACGCCGAGGTGTACCGCGGCCTCGCGGAGCGAGGGATGCGCGTGCTCGCCCTCGCGTACAAGGTGCGCGGAGGAAGGGGGGCAGGGAGGGGACGAGGAGGGAGGGAGAGGGAGGGGACGAGGAGGGAGGGAGAGGGAGGGAGAGAGGGGGAGAGCGCGAGATGCCCGCCCCCCTCGCGCCGGCAGGTGTGCGAGGTCGAGTCGGAGACACTCGTAGACACTTCCTAGACACTTCCTAGATGCCCCCCTCGCGCCGGCAGGTGTGCGAGGTCGAGTCGGACGGGAGCGCGAGCGCGCTGCCCCGCGAGGAGGCGGAGGCGGACCTGGCCTTCGCCGGCTTCATCGCTTTTGCGTGCAAGACGCGCGGCGACTCGCCGATGGTCGTCGGCGCGCTGCTCGACTCGGCGCACCAGGTGTCGATGCTCACCGGCGACGCGCCGCTCACCGCGCTGCACGTCGCGCGCGAGGTGCGCATCTGCTCGCCCGACAAGCCGGCGCTGCTGCTCCGCACCGACAGCGCCGGCGGCGGGCCGCGCTGGGTCGCCGCCACGGGCGCGTCGGACGCCACGGTGGCGCCTTTCCGCGCGGAGGAGATGCGCGGCCTCGCCGACAAGTACGAGCTGATGGCGACGGACGGCTCCATCGAGGAGGCGGCCGAGCAGGACGACGCCATCTGGTCGCACTTGGACGCGCTGCGCGTGTTCGCGCGCATGTCGCCCCCGGGCAAGGCCAAGGTGATCCGCATGCTGCAGGAGCGCAACGGGCGCAAGGTGGTCATGTGCGGCGACGGCGGCAACGACTGCGGCGCGCTCAAGCAGGCCGACATCGGGCTGGCGCTGCTCTCGGGCTACGGCGACATGAACACGACGGGCGAGGGCGGCGAGGCGGCGGCTGGCGGCGAGGCGGCGGCCGACAAGGGGTCTGGCAAGCCGGCGGCGGGCAACAAGGCGGAGGAGGCGCTCAACCAGTCGGCAAAGACGCTCGCGCTCAAGCAGGCGCAGGCGAGCAAGGTGCAGTCGGACCTGCTCAAGGCCAAGCAGAAGGAGCTGCAGGCGAAGCAGCAGGAGTGGATCAAGGAGGAGATCGCGGCGGCCGAGGCGCGTGGCGAGCAGCTGGGCGTGATGGGGCACATGCGCATCATGAAGGCGACCCTCGCCCGCGTGCAGCGCGAGATGATGGAGGAGAGGCGCCGGCTGCAGGCCGTCCACGGCAACGTCTTCGACAAGAAGGACACCATCGAGAAGCTGACCGCCGAGATGGGCGAGGGGACCAACGAGCTGCCGATGGTGCGGCCGGGTGACGCCTCGGTCGCCGCGCCCTTCACGTCGCGCTCGCCGTCGGTGCGCAACATCGTCGACCTGGTGCGGCAGGGCCGCTGCACGCTGCTCTCCGCGCTGCAGCAGCAGCAGATCATGATGCTCGAGAGCCTCATCTCGGCGTACGTGCTGTCGGCGCTCTCGCTCGAGGGCGCGCGCTCGTCGGAGCGGCAGATGATCGCCTCCTCGTGGCTGCTCATGATTGCGCAGCTCGCCTTCTCGTACGCCACCCCCATCCAGCAGATGCACCCGCAGCGGCCGCTCCGGTCGCTCTTCCACCCGGCCATCTTCTTCTCGATGTTTGGGCAGGCGGTGCTGCACCTCTTCGCGATGCGCGCGGCCGTCAACATGGCGCGCGACGAGATGGGCCCCGAGCGGCTGCAGGAGGTCGTCGAGTTCTTCCGGCGCGAGCGCTTGCGCGAGCTGAAGGAGGAGGCGCAGCAAGCCGCCTCGGAGGAGGGCGACTACATGGCGCAGGCGATGGCGCTGTGGACGACGCCCTTCATGCCCAACCTGCTCAACACGTGCGTCTTCCTCGTCGAGACGGCGCAGTGCATCGGCGTGCTGCTCGTCAACTACAAGGGGAGGCCCTGGATGAAGGGCATCTCCGAGAACCACCCCCTCTTCCTCTCCGTCTTTGCGACCGTCGCCGGCTGCGCCGTCTGCGCGTGGGGCATCTTCCCCGAGGTCAACGAGCTCATCCACCTGGAGCCAATGCCGAACGACGCCTTCCGCTACAAGCTGATGACCCTCGTCGGCATCTCCATCCTAGGCACCTTTGTGTGGGACCGGCTCTGCGTCGCAATCTTCGCGCCCCCGATCTTCCGCGCCATGCTCGACGAGGCGAAGGCGCTCACGCCCGCCGACGCGATGCCCGCCATCATGTCGCTCGGCAAGGTGCTCCTCGTGCTCGCCGTGCTCGGCTCGGGGAACATCCTCATCTGGGGCGGCGCCTACTACATGTATTCGCAGTTCAAAAAGGCGCGCGCGCAGCAGGCCATGGCCTCGATCTGAAGGCTGCTTGTCTAGTGCTGCGCTGGCGGGAGGGCAGGGGAGCAAAGCGCGTTGGGGAGCTGGGAGAGAGAGAGGGAGAGGGGGGGGGGGGGGGCTACTTGCTCGTGTCGCTGCGTGCTGGGGGGGGTGCACGTGCGCAGGGGACCGGGTCTCGAGGGAGCACGCGACAGTGGCACTGGCCCACATACGGCGGCGGCGCAGGCCGCAGCCCTGCTCAGGTTTTCTATATTTGCTCTGTACAAATGACAAACGGCCAATAAACGGGTCCTCAGAGCTGCTGGCGAGATGCACAAGGCGATTTTGCAGTGTGTCCATGTCAGACACACAGACCGATACAGGGACCTGGGTCGACACAGTCGCGTCCGGCCTGGAGACACACGGCCCGTACAGTAAGTAGAACACAAAATGGGGGCCCGTGCTCGCTCCACAGGGGGGGTCCCAACCACGCAACAGTGTACAACAGTGTCAGCAAGGCGCGTCTCCCGTGAGGTGTGAGAGCTACGAGAGCTCTGCTGCCGCCTCTGCTGCCGCCATGGCCGCCTCTGCCCTGGCCCTGGCGGCGGCTGTGCGGGCCGCGCGCTTCGCCTTGGCGGCCGCAACGGCCGCCTCCGCCGCCGCCTCCGCCGCCGCCAGTGCCTCCTCCTCCTCCGCCGCCGCGGCCTCCTCCTCCTCCGCCGCCGCTTCCGCTGCCACGGCCGCCTCGGCCTCCGCCTTCCGTCGCGCCTCCGCGGCCACCTCCCTCGCCTCGCCCGCCTCGTCGGCCTCCTCCTCGGCCGCCTCCGCCGTCTCCTCGTCGCCCTCCTCCTCGCTCGCCTCGCCCGCCGCCTCTCCCAGCGCCTCCGCCAATCCCTCGACCGACGTCTCCGGCGTGATGCCGAACCGGATCCTGTCCTCGTGGAGCTCCGCGAGAAGCTTGAGCAGCCCCGCCTTGTCCAACGGCGCGGGCTTGGCTGCGGCTGCCTGCGGCGCGTCCTCCTGCGACGGCCCAGCGCTGCCACTCCCGCCGCCCTTCTTCTTCTTCTTCTTGCCCTTCTTGCCCTTGGCGCGCTTCTCCGCCTCGACCTCCGCCAGCAGCTCCTCGGCGTGCCGCGCCGCCTCCTTCTCCGCCGCCGCCCTCTGCGCCTCCCTCTCCGCCGCCCCCGCAGCCCACGCCGCCTCCTTCGCCGCCTTCTCCGCCGCCTTCTCGGCCGCCGCATGCTCCCCGAAGGCGCGCACGCACTCGGCGTGGCCCTTCACCTTGGCACATTGCAGCGCGGTCTTGCGCTGCTTAGTGCACAGCTTCGTATCTGCGCCCGCCCGCAGCAGCTGACGCACGACAACAGGGTGTCCGACATAAGCGGCGGCCGTCAGCGCAGTGCCGCCGTCGTAAGCCTGCTGGTCGATCTGCGCGCCGTGCCGGATCAGCGTGTCGACCACCCGCTCGTAGCCTTTGTAGGCGGCGTCCATCAGCGCAGTGCCGCCGGTCGTGCGGCGTCTCTGATCGATCTCCGCGCCGTGCCGCAATGCCAGCTCGACCATCTTCTCGAGGCCATTCGAGGCGGCAAGGCTCAGCACGGTGCCACCGTCGCTCTTCTGCAACGAGACATCTGCACCGCGCCGCAGAAGCGCCTCGGTCAGCTCCACGTGGCCATGGACCATTGCGAGCATCAGCAGCGTCATGCCGCTCGTGCACGAGCCGTCACCAAAGCTGTGCTTGAACGTCCCGTCGACCCACCCGCCGCCGTCGAGCCACGCCAGCACCGCTCCCACTTGGCCATCCATGGCGGCCTTCCGAATGATTGCAGGGACGGCGCCGCCGCGCGTCGACGGAGGCGGCGGCTTGCGGCGCGCGGCGCTGACGCGGGCCGGCATATACGTTTCGTGCTGGCGCGCTACCGTAGGGTGCCGAACTTAAGGTAAGGTAGCTTGAGTGAGGTTCGGTGCTTTGCACTGAGTTAGGCACGGGGTAGCAGCAGTTCGGTACCGGGGATTTCTTTTTGGGTACCGGCGACGCCTCGGCCCTCGCTGCGTGGACCGTGGTAGGACGAGGGTGCGGCGAGTGAGGAGGAGGAGGAGGGGGAGGAGGAGTAGGGCATCTAGTAGCGTAGGCACTCGTACTCGAGCGTAGGCGTAGGTGCTCGTAGCGTAGGAGGGAGATGCGGCCTCAGAGTGGTGCGGGCCGCGTGGCCCGTGTGCCGGTCCGGCTGGACCGAGAGGTGGGTAGCACGTAGCAGGAGTTAGGTACATTAGAACAGGAGTTCGGGAAGAGGAAAAGGGCTCCCTAACTCAAGCTACCTTACCTTAAGTTCGGCACCCTACGGTACCTTAGGCGCCGCGTGTTTCTTTATTTCAAGGGTTTGAAGCACCGGCTCAACGCCGCGCCCCGCAGTCGGTGCGAGCAGCGAGTGTTCCCGCTGCTGCTCTGCTGCAACCTCCACTCCTCGCCGCGCGGCCTCCGCACTCTCGGCGTTCGCCTATCTCGCCCGGCTGCATGCGGGATGCAGCATCCGTGCCCATCTCTGGCAGCCGATCGCCGAGCGCCTCCTCAAAGCACGCGAGAATATCGTTGCTCAGAAGGCCAGTCTCGAGTTCGTCAACGGAAGCAGAGATGCTCGCCCGCAGCACGGCCCGCCCTCGAGACCTGGCAGCGGCGCACTGCCTCTGACAGCGGCGGCATCCTCCCACGCTGGCCGCGCATCATGATGGCTCGCCGGTTTTTTGTGGCTTTTTTACCGCTTTTGGGGGGTCACGCCCTCCCACACCCCTCTTGGGTTTTTTCTTTAAGCGTTCACAGCCTTGTTATTGAGAAAAAATAAATACGTTCGGCAGACCTTTGTTAGATTTTGAGAAGAAAATACGTCATATGGCGCTGCGCGCTGGTCTATGAGATTCACAGGCCTTGTTATTGAGAAGAAAATACGTCCTATGGCGCTGTGCGCTGGTCTGTGAGAGGTTCACAGAACCCCACCTCCCCGCCTCTCTGTTTCGTGTTTCACACACCACACGCCACCCCAAGAGAGGAGATCTGAGAGGATGGAGAATCCGAGAGGAGCCGCTCCTTACCCGTCAGTGAATGCGTGCGTTGCGTTTGTTGTTTTAGTCAAGAAAACAGATTGCAGTCCAGTTGCACAGTCAATGTCGTTGCAGGGCCTCGAGCTCCCTGACCATCTTGAACGGGTCCTCACTATTCGCCCTCAGTGCATCGGCCTTCGCGCGCGCGTCCCGGAACGCGACGGAGGAGGGCGAGTCCTCTTTTCGCTCGCCAAAGAAGGTCTCATACGCGGTCGCGGGCCTCGCGAGTCCTCCGCATTTTGGATCGCCCAGCCGTGCCTCGAGAGGTCCTTTGCATCTCTGGCCAGGCAGCTCGTCAAAGTTCTGCCTTCGGTAGCGCTCGACGTTCCTCTCTGGAGGACGGACAGCCGCAATCCCCGCCGCCGCCCTCGCTGCTGCCATCTCTTCGGGCGTCTGTGTTGGCGTCTCCATGACCTTGGGCTGGCATCTCTGCATCTGCGCCATCGCCTCGGGCGCAACAGTATCGCGAGCCAGTGCGGCCACAAACTCTTTGTAGTCAATCTGGCCATCTTGGTCGGGATCGCAAGCGCGGAAGAGGGCCGCGATTTGCTTTTCCTCGAGTGGCGCGTTCCAGTTGTCCAATGCTCCACGGACCTCTGCCTCCGAGAGCCTGCCATTGCCGTCGATGTCGATGTTCTGGAACGCACGGCGCATGTCGACAAAGCGCAGGTGAATGGCATCCTGCACAATATCCAAAGAGCTCCCACCCTTTGCCGTCATAGCGTTAAGACACGGCCCGTCGTGACCGTCGCGCGGGCTGGGCCGTACGTCGCCCCGGCGTTTGTGTCGCCAACACGTAACCGTCGCGCGCCGGAAAATAATCTGTATCCGCGCCCAACCTTCTTTCTCCCTCGTTTTATGAGCGCCACGCGACGCGCCCGCACATAGGCTTATACGCCAACACCTACACAAATGCGAGTTTATGCACACATGCGCCGCCGACGCGCCCTGTCCGTCCGCTGGGAGAGTCCATTGGGCGTTGGCCTGCGCCCTGCCCTCTTCCGATCTCGCTATCACGCGCGGAGGCGTGGCGTCGAGTCCTTCCACAGAAAGGTGGCCGTCTGCCCTCCTGCGACGCCGTTGAGGATCGCCAGCCCGTCGCGTGCGGGGCCGAGCTGTCGCAACAAGCGTCGCCGCACCACGCGCCACCGAGAGGTCCGCAACGACCCGACGGCCGACTGCGGTGCGATCACGTCGAGCCGGGCCGGCGCAGAGACGATGGCCCGCCCTCCCGGCGAGAGCGGGGGCGCGGCATCCTCCTCGCGCAGAGGCTTGAAGCGCGTGTCGCCCGCCCTGCGCTTGGGTCCCGCCGCCGGAGCTTGGTTGCGAGAGCCTCCGCCGCCCGGGTCGCCGCCATTGCCGTCCGCCCCGTCGCCGTGGGGCGGGTCGCTAGGCGGATCGGGCGGAGGATCGAAGAGGGGGGGCCTAGCAACAGGAGCAGCAGATCACCGTACGCTGGGAGAGGGTATGTACCTTGAGGTATGCAATGGGAGAGGAGTCAAGGCAAGGTGCGCGCAGGCTGCACGCCGTTGGTAGAGTGGCGTCTGGTTCATGAGCGAGTCGACGAGGTGAGTCATCGTGTCGGCGGACGAAGTGATGAAGAAGACTCCGAGGAAAGTGAGCGCGGCGCCTAGTCTCGGCGGAGTCAGAGTCGCAGCGAGGCTGACAACGAAGCCGTCCCAGGTGAAGTGGGGCGGCGCCGTCGAGGAAGAAGTGGAGGTAGACTGCCTCGTCGACGACAAACTCTTGGTAGAAGATGGAGGTCGCCTAATCTCGGCGGATCTCGGCGGATCTCGGCGGATCTCGGCCGGGGTGGACGGTGCTCAGTGGAGGTCGCGCCATGATGGAGAAGAAGGTGAAGGTGACGTAGTGCACCGGGATGACCTGCGTGTTTCCGAACAGGGCCATGCCCGCGTTGATGTACTTGACCTGCGCGACGCCCGTCGAGGCGAGGACCAAGAGGCAGAGGTAGAGGGCGGGCTCGCCGAGCTGCCCGCTCCCCTGTCCCAGAGGCGTCAGGGTGAGGGCGGCGGCGTGCGCTTCTCCGCACGCCTGCGTGGTGCAGGGGCGTGCGCTATCCCCCCGCAACCTCCTGGAGGCAGCCAGCCCGCGGCGCGGAGGAGTGCATGATGGCCCATGTGGTGGGCCCAGGGGGCCAACGACCGTTGGGAGGGGGGGGGGGGAGGGGGGTGTCGCCTGCTCGATGATCTGCCCGCTGTCGTCCCAGATGGCGCCCTCCGGAGGGCGGGCAGTGATGCAGCCCAGCCGCCCGTCCCTGCTCACCTGGTGGGGGAGAGAGGGCGGAGAGACACCTCTCCCGCTCGCAGTGCGGCAGGGGGGCGGGGGCGGGGGGGCGGGGGGCGAGCTAGCCCCTCCTCTCCAAATCGTGAGGCAGGAAGGAGCGCCGACGGCGTGGTGCAAGGCCCCCGGTAAAACGCGCGTGAGCCGTGCGTGTGCGTGCGCGCGTGCGCGCGTGCTCACCTCGCCCCAATGGCCCCCGAAGGGCAGCCGGCTGGCGCAGCCCGCCTCGTCGACGGTGGAGTCGACTTGGTCGAGGAAAGGCACGCTCGGGTCGAGGAGGGCACCTGGCGTGGCGGGCGGGTCGAGCCATCTCAACCATCGACAACAGCGAGGGGTTGGCTCTCGGGCAGGAGGGGAGGGCGCCGAGCGAGAGGCCGACAAAGGTGGAGACGGCCTAGAGTTGTTTTGAGTCGGCGACTCAGGCACCAGAGTGGCCAGCCGCGGAGAGGCGGCGGCGGACTGCCTTGGAGGAGAGGACCGTCAGCGAGCCAAGCAGCGAGGCCTGCAGCCGTCAGCAGTCACATCACCAGAGCCGGAGGGGCGGGGGCTGGAGGCGCTGAGCCGGGAGGCGACGGCGCCTGCGTCAGGTTCCACAGCACGTTCACCACCACCACCACTACCCTGCTGCTGCTGCTACTGACTACTGGCTACTGCTGCGCCTGCGTCAGGTTCCACAGCACGTGTCTGTGGCCGTAGCGCGGGCAGAGCACGAAGAGCGCGCACACGGCGGCGAGCAGCAGCGAGAGCAGCACAACCTGCGAGAGCCGAGGAGACCCCATGGCTGGAAACCGCTCGGCTGGCCGGCGGCAGCGGGAGAGCGACGCCACACCGAGGCTGGCTGGCCGAGCAGCCAGTAGAAGCGCTGCGCCGTGAGTACGCACGGCTGCTGCGGCGCGTAGATCACCTGTGCGTTAAGAATGTGCGGCTCTGGCTCGGGCTGTGTGCGAGGGGAGAGGCTTCTGACGGGCGCGTGAGAGGGACCATCAAGATGACGCCGCCCACCACGAGCAGACCGCCCACCACGTCGCGGACGCGGAGCGGTTCGCCTGGCCAGAGAGGGGGGGGGGGGGGCAGCTGAGAGAGCGGGGAGCTGGGAGGAGAGAGAGGCAAGCGGGGAGAGAGGAGGCCCTCGAGGTAGCCTAGAGGTAGCCAGGAGGGGGGCAGCAGGGGACCAGGAGGGGGCTGGGGGACGAGGTGCTCGGGAGGCGTCTCGAGAGAGCGGCTCGCCGAGCACGAGCGTCGCGATGAAGGAGTTTGCTATGACGCCGACGCAGCCGATCGCGGTGCCGGCGATGACCCCCCTCTTTGGGTCTCCTATCGCTCCGATGTCGCCCCTCTCGGAGGGAGAGGGGCCGCCCCCCCGTCTCTCCCCGTCGGGGGGGCTCTGGATGCTCGTCGTCGACGGCGATGCGGAGAGGGGGGACGCGAGCGAGGACGCCACATTTCTGCGAATCTCTCGCGGCGGGTCTCGCCTCTCCGCCGACGGTGAGGAGGATCCCGAGCCACCAGACGGGGAGGGACTGGGCGGTTGGGCCTTTGTTCTCCTGTGGGGCGGGGAGTGAGGCTGGGAGTGAGAGCTGAGAGGGTGGGAGCGGGCCGGCCGCGGGTGAGCCGGCGAGGGCGCAGTGCGGCGGTGCAGCGGCACCTCCTCGCTGGGGCTCCGCGCGGCGGCGGGATCGATGGCGACATCGGGGCGCTCTGCTGCGCTGCCGTCACCCGGGGGCGAAGCGGCCCCCTCGACGTCGTCGGGTGGCCGAAGGCCCTTTCGGAGGGTATTGACGCGGTTGTGAGCGACTTTCTGAAAGCCGAGCCCGATGGAAATGACGACGTCCGCGACGAGCGAGGCGATGAGGCCCCACATGAGCCCGCTGCCCTCGCCAAAGTCTCCCAAATCCTCCGCGTCGCAGGTGCCGCCCGATTCTAGCGAGGTCACGTAGTGCTCCCGCGCCGCAGCACACATCGCAGGAGCAACCGAGGTGCACAGGTCCTCGACAGCGGGCACCAGCACCTCAACGCAGCCAAGTGCGCCGTGCGTGCTCTGGCGAGCCACGCACGGCGTCGACACGATCGTCATCTTGACCTCGTGCGTTGGACGCCGTTGGGTGTGAAAGCAAGGCGGCTCGCGCCGCCCGAAGAGAATCATCGACGACTTCGCCAAAGAGGTCGGCAGCCCGAGCGCCGTCGACCGCACCGACTATGCCACAGCCTCCGGCAGCGCCCGGGGCTTCGTCCAGCACCACTCGCAACAGCTCTCGCGCGCGTGGCGACGCGCAGAACATCAACAACGCTGCTCGCAACATGCGTGTCGCGCACTCGTTCATGACCGGTCTCAATGCCCCACCCCCCTGCGCGCGGGCCTTCTAGGCCCGCGGGTAGTCTCCCCCCATCCCCAGGGCCTCCAGGGCTCGCACCTCAACCTCTCGCAGACCAGCGCATACTCAGTAGCGCCACAGGCCGTATTTTCTTCTCATAACAAAAGGCTGTGAACTGTGAAGGTGAACTGCGTGCTTTTTCTTCATTTTCTCAAAAACAGGCAGAAACGCACAACCCCGGGCCCAAACAGGGTCTTACACCTCTCTTGCCTTCGGCGGTGGCGACGGGGGAGGCGGCGAGGGCGGCGGCGGCGACGGCGGTGGCGGCGAGGGAGGCGGCGGCGAGGCGAGGGCGGAGGCGGGCTGGGCGGTGGGGGCGAGGGAGGCGGCGGCGAGGGCGGCGGCGGTGAAGGCGGTGGCGGCGAGGGCGGAGGCGGCGACGGCGGTGGAGGTGAGGGTGGCGGAGGTGAGGGCGGTGGAGGGCTCGGCGGCGGTGGGGAGGGCGGCGGCGGCGAGGGAGGCGGTGGCGAGGGAGGCGGCGGCCTGACGATCGGCCGTCGATCCCGAGGCACGAGGGTCGTCGGTTGAGCTAGGGAGCCTGGCGATGGACGCCACCGCGACCCCTCGTGGCATCTCTCTCGCCGTCGGCGAGCTAGGGGCTCGCGGACGGCCGAATTAATATAGTGTACAGCCGTGAATGTGAACGAAGAGGTTGTGCTTGTGGGAAACCCCGCCTACCGCCTCCACAGCCGCTGGCCAACCAACTACTCGCGAGACTACGTCAACCGTGTCGCGGACGCGTTCCGCCAGCTCTTGCCAAACGCGAAGCTGCTGCTTCGAATGAATGGCACGGCCGACGACGACTTTCTCTTCGTGGCGCGAGCGGCGTATCTGATCCCTGCTCGAGGGTCCGGTTTCGGAAAGGCGGCGGCGTTTTGTGCCCGTAGGGCGGGCGCGACCATCCTTCAGCCTGCTTGAGTGCGAGACGCCGAGAGGGAGTGTATGATCGAGCGCGTCGGAGTGATGGAGAGTCTTAGTGGCCATGCCTTTTTTGGCGTCATCTACGCTCCAGTGCAGCGCCGAGCCGCTGGTTTCGCAAAATGTACGCGCGGGGGGGGGCCGGTGAGGCGCTCGTCACGATCATGTACCCACTCGCACTGTCGAGACGAGCCCTCGGAGCGTGGCCATGGCAGAGAGCGGTGTCAGCGCGCCCGTAGCCGGGTTGCTCTCAGTTGGAACGCCCGCAATTCGAACCTCAAAGTTGCTCTCTGCAGACTTCACCGCAAAGGTGTGCGTGTTCCGCTCGACTCCCGGATCGGCCCAGAGCTCGTACTTCGTGCGATCCGGTCCGATACCCGCCAAGGAGAGTGCGACGGCGACGTTGACGTTGGCAGGGAATCGCTGGGCCGCGTCGCTCACGCTTCCAGCATAGAGGCGCTGCGGTTCAGCGAGCTCTGACAGGTTCAGCCCTTGCTCACGCACAAACGGCGCATTTGCGAGCGACGCGGGTGGCTTGCGCGTTTGCATCACGACCGACGTCACATTCCCACCCTCTGTGGCCGCCTTGACTGCGTCCAAGCCGCAGAGAGCACCACTCGGGACGAGGATTCTGCCGCCTGAACTGGCGGCTAGCTTTTGAAGCACCTCGTACTCCAGAAGCAGCTGCGTCACGCTCAGGACGAGTAGCGTCTTGCCCGCCGCCAGCGTTGGCTGCGCAACGTCGAGGAACAATGACGGCGGCAGCGCCTCGACCACGACATCTGCGTGCGCAGCCAGCTCTGATGCAGTGAGCACAGCAACGTCGGTGAGACCGGCCAACGCGGCTTTCGAGCGAGCACTCGCCTCTGTGCTCGCGCTCATGGCGGCAAGCGACATCCCCGGGATGCTCCCACGGAACAGCTCCCTGGCGACGGGCAGGCCGACGGCGCCAAGGCCAGCGATTGCCACGCGCATTGACGGTCGGCCCCAAGTGACGCGGAGGCGGGACGTAAAATGCGCGAAAAAATGCGGAAAAAAGCGATTCTTGTTTTGCCGATTCTTTTTCGGTCTTTCACGTCGAGTCCGTTCATGTCTTCTTGTGCAAGCAATCGCATTTCATATAATCTAAAATAAACGGCACGACTGCTGGCGCTGCTGCCGCGCACAGCACCGCTACCACCCGCAGGCTGCCCGCCAGCCGCACGTAGGCCAAGCCGCGTCCGGCCCTCACTTCACGACGCCGAACCGGCCGGGCGGCAGCACCCTGAGCAGCGGCCTCCCGGCCACCTCCCGCTGCCGCAGCGGGCCCCAGCAGCGCGAGTCGACACTCACCGCCTCGTTGTCTCCGAGGACGACGTAAGCGTCGTCAGCAAGGGAGAAGCGCGTGGGCGCGACGAAGCGCGCGACGGGGCTGTCTGCCGCCACCGCGCTCCGGATGCGCCGCCCGTCTATGGTCGCCGCGCCGTCGGGGAAGACCTCCACCTCGGGCGGCGAGGCCGCGTCGCCGCCGCGCGCCGCGATTCGCTTGAGGAAGAGGGCCTCTCCCCGCCCCTCGCCGCCGCCGGCAGCGGCGGACTGGCGGCGGACAATCTCCCGCAGCGCGTCGGGCGGGCGGAAGAGGACGAGCTCGCCGGACTCGGGCCGCCAGCCGAGGCGCGGCGACACCTTGTCGACGAGAAGCACGTCGCGACGCTGCACCGCCGGCAGCATCGAGTCGCTCGGCACGACCGAGAGCGTGAGGGCGGAGGCGAGGAGCGCGCCGACCGCCAGCCATCCGACCGCGATGAGTGCCGCGAAGGAGGCGACTAGCGTGTTGTACGCTCGCGGCGTGTACCAGCGGGGAGCGAGGCTGAACGGCACCGACACAGGCCAGTCGCTGCGCTCCAGCTTCTTGACCAGGTCGTAGGCCGGGCGCACGCTCACCACGACGCCACCACCCTGTGTCGACACGTCCTCAATCAGATAGTCGACTCCCGGGTAGAGGCCTGCCGACAGCATCTCCTCCCGCTTCCGAAGCATCTGCTCGACGTTGCCGCCGTCTCGCCTTGCGATCGTCGGGATAACTGTACTTCCCTTGGTGAGCCCGCTCGCCGGCAGCGGCTTTGGCAGCACGCTCATGTGCGTGAGCAGGATGAGCATATACCCACACCCGATGGTGGCCGCTCGTGCGCACGCCGCGCCGCTCGCGCTGCACCAGCAAAAAAATTTATGCCACGTGAAGGGGAAAGAAAAAAAAACTAAACAAAGCGAGCGTACCGCCGCAAGCGACGTGGCGTGGGGCGGTTGGGGCGGTTGAGCGTCCCTCCGGGCGGCCCTCTGCGCCGGGGAGGCGTTGTTGGAGGCTAGGACGCAAGCGTCCGTCGCCCTTTTCAAACTCGGGGCCCACTCCGCTACGGCCTACGCTCCGACCCGAATTTGGAGGGCCATGAAGTTTAAGGTGTTGCTGCGCAGAAGGGGTGGCGCGCGACCAGCAAAAAATGTCGCACGCGACGCCGAAGTAAGCTGCCGAGCCCCAGCTTCGGCTGAGGGCGAACAAGCTGCCGAGCCCAAATCACTGTGAGAGTCGTGATTTCTTGTTGGTCTTCAAAAATCTCTCTCTAATGGGGTCCCTGGTCGTTTCCGCAGGCGAAAGGAGAAGACGCATTATAAAAAAGAAAACTTCGACCGGTTCCTGCGAGGACGTCAAAAATAAAACGCAGACGATTTTTTTCTTGTTGACTGTTGTGAGGTGGCGCGGCGCCAGGGCTGGCTCGTCGGCCCAGGTGCCGTTCTGCTGCAGCAGCGTCACCACATGCAAACAAAAACAAACAACACAAGCTCCGACAAATCTAAAAATCTCTCTCTCTCATGCTCCGAGTCCCGGTCGAGGGCGAGGTGGCGGCTGGCGGCTGGCGGGCTCCTCGGCAGGAGGTCGGGTCCGCCGTGTAGACGATGGGAGCCTCAACCCCCCCTTGCCCGTCGGGTAGACGACGACCGCTCGGTTGTCCACCAGCGCCGAGATCATGAACGCCGCGTCGTATTTGAACCCAGGGCGGGCCATGACGTAGCACCACGCCTCGAAGGTAGGCTCGGCTCCATATTGGTGAGCATACTCGCTGAAACTCCTCACTGCCTGTAGGCGGATTTCTTAGTTTTCAAAAAGAAAAATAGCTGGTTTTTTTGACTGTTGTGAGGTGGCGCGGCGCCACGCCAGCTTGCCTCGCACACTTGCTTGCCTCGCACACTTCGCTGCCGTCGAATTTGCCATGGGTCTCGTCTTCACTGGCCTCGTCTACGTCAGCGGCTATCTCTTTCTCATCTTTGTGGCGATCTGTCTCGGTGCGCGCATCCCGTACAGTCCGCTGCCACCGCTCAGTGCCTGCCTCTAGTCTTGCCTTGCACAGCGCCGCTGGTAGTGGCGGATCGGGCGGCAAGCGCCTTTACCCGGCTCTCCGCACGCAGCCTGCGGCCTCTACTACCTCGCCGAGCTTGCGGAGGAGTACAACGCCCTGACGCGCCGCCTCCTCTCGTGTGCCATCGCCGCTGTCTTGATAGTCCACATCTTGCTGCTCGCGCTCGAGCCGCACCTGCCGTACGTCGCGCTCGCTGCCGGCTTCGCCAACCACATCGCCTACCTCTGGCTCCACCAGAGCTACCCGCTCCTCCGGATCGCCTCTCCAGCCTTCCTCACCTCGCTCAGCCTCTTCGGTGCCCGCTACGCCGCACCTGCTCCGCCGCACCTCTCCGCCGCACCTACTCCTCCGCACCTACTCCGCCGCACCTGCTCCGCACCTGCTCCGCACCTGCTCCGCCGCACCTGCTCCGCCGCACCTGCTCCGCCGCACCTGCTCCACCGCACCACCTGCTCCGCCGCACCTGCTCCGCCGTAGCCCCTCGGCCGACCGCGACTGAGCGGGCCTGGCCCTCGCGGACTCGCCCGTGCGCAGGCGTCTCGCACTACCTCTGGGGCACCCACTTCCTCGCCCACTACCACCAGCTAGCTCACGTCCTCTGCTTCTTCCTGTTCAACGTCTGGCTTGTCCCGTGCGCAGCACACCGCACACCAAGCGCCACCCGCACCATACCACACCAACCATGCCGCATTGCACCGCCCACCGCCCGCGCGCCCGCGCAGGTTTGGCTTCTTCATCTCCCTCTCGGTCAACGAGGCGCGGCTGCCAAACACGCAGGCGCGGAGACTAGAGCCTCGCCCCGCCCAGCCACCCTCTCGGCCGCTCGCCTCCGTACCCGTCCCCGAACCCGCCCGCGACCCTCCCCTCGCCCGTCGCGCTGCGGTGCGGCATGTCCCGCGTGACTGCGGTCGCACTCTGAGCCGCTCCCCCCCGCCGCCGGCGCCCCGCCAGGCCGGCCTGGCGGACGAGGTCTACTCGGAGGGCGGCGGCGTCAAGCAGAAGAGCGGGCTGCTCTCCGCCTTCTCCTTTGTGCGCGAGAAGCGCGACGACATGATGCCCTCCATGGCCAAGAAGGTCTGAGCCGCCGGCGCAAATACACCTAGGGCGGAGTGGGAGCTGGGAGAGTGAGGTGTCGTGGCGGAGGAGGCTGGGGCGGCGTGGGCGAGTGTGGCGGAGATGGGTGGGGCTAGGACACGCGCGTCGTACCCGCTCGGGGCTCACACTGGGCGCTGTACACTGTGGCTCTCGCGAACGAGTATTCACGGCGCGGCGCGTGGGCCGTGGCGCCGTGGCTCAGGCCACGGCGCGTGCAGCGCCTCCTTGAGCGCTCTCGGCCTCTCGCGCTCGGTAGTGTTAGATCTCAGACATCTTCCATTTTCAAAGCGCCTCGACGCTCGAGCATGCGCTGTCCGCTGAGGGCTGACGCTGAGCGCTGACTGAGTTCCCACGCCGCACGCGGGGTCGCGGAGGGCGCGATATGTCATATGATCGGATGTGGGTTGAGCGATCGGCATGAACTCGGCGCGACCCGCGGGAAAAAAATGCGGGCTTTCTCCAAGTGCTCTCGTCCGTTTGTCGTTATAAAAGTTAGTAAACGAACCATTGCATACATGGAAAATACCTGTCAGCAACCTGTGGGCACCGCCTGCGCTCGGCACCGACTTCGGGTAACAACGACGATTCAACGAACAAACTTCTCCCACGCGTATATAAAATCTGCCTGCAGCTGCGGTCCGCCGGCCGCCCCTCAGCTCACATGGAAAAGGAAAAGGAAGGAGCAGGCCGACACGAAGCAGATCAGAGCGTAATCAATAACAAGCTATACGGAATCTGGAAGGTGAAGCGCATCCGACGCCACTAACGCCGCGCCGTCGGGAACACCCTTTCAAAGCCCGGGAGGGGGTGGAGCTGTTTCCAAGGAGATTATAGTCGAGCGCGTCGGAGAGGTGTTTCGACACCGACCGAGTGTTTTGAACGTGTCTTCGCAGAAATCGTCGAGAGAAAAATTCTCTCGCCGGTGTTCACAGAGCTCTGTGAACACCGGCTACTCGGCCTTAGCGTCAACAGTGCGATAGCCAAGTATCGCCTGTTGGGGCCGGGAGGGGGTATATCCAAGCTGTTTCCAAGGACGTGATACACGCCCTTGTCCATCTCCAAGTCCTCTTTGCCATGTCGCCTTTTCCCGAGCCCGTCGTGATGGAGGTGGTCGCCCTGACCGAGCCCGAGCCCGAGCCCCTCACCGCTATCACGACGACACGAGACTCCAAGAGTGCCGCTAAAACAAAGGAGCCGCTGCCGAGCGCTCCGCTGACGGTGTGGACGGGTAGCACGTTCCGCGCCTTTGCCAACCTGCTGAAGACAATGGTAGGGGCAGGCGTCCTCACCCTGCCACACGCGACCTCTAAATTTGGACTCCTCGCGTCCGTGGTCGGCATAGCGTTGGCGGGATATGGCACGTCTGCCGCCATCATTTTCGCGGTGCGCTGCAACGCCAAGGTGTGCGAGCGCGGTTCCGGAGGCGACGAGGTTGGCGTGTGGGAACGTATTGGACGGGCGGCGTATGGCCGGCTCGGCGTCGTGAGCATCATCAGCAGCTTGCTCATCGCCCAGCTCGGCCTCAGCGCGGCTTACTATGACTTTATCGTTGAGACCATCATGCAGCACGCCGCCCTGAGCCACCTGCACGCGCTCGCTGTGACGTGGGTTCTCCTCACCCTGGTGTCGATGATCCGCAAGCTCAGCTCGGTCGCCATCCTCTCCCTCGTCGGGCTGATCACCTACATCTACATCATCGCGCTCCTCGTCGCGTACTCTTCCGAGGCTCTGGACTGCTCCGCTGCAAATGCATCGCTCACGGCTGACCAGCTGCAGTGCGCCGCAAAGAACGGCGACATCGCTGGCATCTCTCCGATCTGCCACCCTGGCGCCGCCGAGCCAATCGCGATGGCCACCTGGAGCGGCTTCGGCGCCTGGTTCGGCCCGGCCGTCTTTGCGTTTGAGGGCATGGGCACCGCTATGAGCATCTACGCATCCATTGGCGAGTCGATGGCTGAGGATGCGCCGCCGGGCACCTCCTCGACCGTCGTGCGCCGGTACACCGACCGCGCCTTCCGCTGGGTGGTCGGCGGCGCCTACTCGTGCGGCGTCGTCATCTATGTCTGCGTCGGCGCCCTCGGCTACCTCGCCTTCGGAAGCAGCGTCGAGGGAACCATCCTCAAGTCGTTCCCGGAGGGCCCGGCCAAGGCGAACGCGCAAATCGTGCTTGCCGTGGTGCTCGGCTGCACCTTCGCGCTGCAGATGAACCCCGTGTGGGGTGTCATTGAGCCGGCCATTCTCGGGCGTGGCGACTACTCGGCCGCTTGGCCTGTTCTCCGTGGCGTGGTGGTGGCGCTGATCGCGATCGCCTGCGTGCTCATCCCCGCGGTGGACGCGATGATCTCTCTCTCGGGCGCGGTGGGCTTCTCCCTCCTGGGCTTTATTCTGCCCGGCCTCTTCTTCCTCAAGCTCAACCCGAACGCGTCGGTCGCGGTCACGCTCGACCGCTCCGTCGCCGCGGGGCTGGAGAGCATGGGGCGCGCCGAGTCGCCGGGGGCGTCAGCCAACGGCGGCTGGGGGGCGACGCTGCGCAAGAACGCCTTGGATGTGGTCGTCGCCATCGCGTTGGTCGCCATCGGCTGCACTGGCTCTGTCCTCGGCGTCTATGACGTGTTTCAACAGCAGCAGCATCCGGACGCCGCCATCGAGGCGTCACTGGGCTGCTCGCTTGATGAGTAGGTTATGGAATCGCACCATCATTAGTAGCAGCAGCACAGCATGCACTCGCGCTATTCTGTATATTGCTCACCCGAACAACGTGAACGTGCAGCGTTTCTCCTCTCAGTGTACATAGTGGCGGGTCTGTCTTGTGAGCGGTCTCTCTCTCTCTCTCTCTAGTGAGTAGTGTCTCTCTAGAGAGTAGAGTGCGAGCTCGCGGGTGTTGCACTGAGCTCGCTGTCCTCTGAGCTGTGTGCACTCGTGAGGCTCTGTGTGGTTCTGTGTGATTGCCGTGCGGCGGGGTTGTATGTCAGTCGCTGCTGTGTGGTCTTCTCTTTAACAAACACAAGCAAAAACTTCTCAGAGGTGTCCATCCTCTCTCATGAGGTGACAAGGACCGCGACCGGTGGCGGTGTGCTCAGCGCACCTGCGGTCGCCCCCGGTTGTGCGACAGCGACGGCCTGCAGTTCCGCCAGCCGCCTCTCGGCCTTGTCGCGACGCTCTGCCGCCAGCCTGCGGAGCTCCTCCTCCCGCAGCAGCTCTGCGTCTAGCTCCTCGCGCCTGTGCGGCCGGGGAGCGACAGAGGCTCAGCGCGCAATCGGAGGTGGCCGCTTCGCGCATCTTCGCGTGGGATGCGCGCCGTCGCCGCTGCTGCAGCTCGTCGCTACCCGCCTCGGCGGTCACAAAGACCCGCCGCACCTGCTGCTCCACCGCCCCCTGCCGGCAGATGGGACACTCGCTCCTCTCCCTCCGCTCGCGTGGCGTCTCCCTGCGCCGCCGCAGCTCGGCCACGATGCACGAGAGCCCAAACAGGTGGCCGCACGGCAGGGTGCACGCCTGCGAGCCCCGAGGGTGAGGGCGAGAGCACGTCGATCGGGCGCGCGGCGGTTTGGCGGGCGGCGGTGCGTGGGGGCGGCGGTGCGTGGAGTGTGCGCGCGATGTCTCTCTCGCCTGGTGCGATCCGCTCCGGTGCCACGGCAGCGAGCAGAGCGTGCAGCGGCCTACGAGCAGCCCCGCGCGCTCGCACTCCCACCCCTGCACCCCCCGGCGGTGAGAGCGGCGGAGCCCGGGTGCGCTCCTCCGTCGTGCGCCACGTCGCTCGCACTCGAAGTTGGAGAGGCAGGCCGCCGCGCCTGCAGGAGAGCGAAAGCCTCTGCGGGAGAGCGAAGCCGCGTGTCGGGGTGCGTCTGAAGAGGCGCGGGCGGAGTCGCTCGGCCCGCACCGGTCTTGCCGCTGCCGCCGCGCCGCCGGCGTGCCTCCCCGCCCCCCTGCCCCGGCCCTGGGAGCGCCGCCTATTCAGCAAAAGGCGCGCCCTCCCCTCTCGATGAGCTCTCCTCCCGCTCGGGGGTGCGCGCAGCGAGCGGCGCCTCGCGCCGCGGCCGCGGCCGACTGGGCGCATCAGCCGCTCAAAGGGCGAGGTGGCGTCGCTCTGCGGGGAAGCGGCAGCCGTTGCGGCGGCAGCGGTGGGAGCTGGCGGCGGCGGCGGCGGCGGCGGCGGCGGCGGCGGCGGCGGCGGCGGCGGCGGCGGCGGCGGCGGCGGCGGCAGCAATCGCGGCGGCTGCGCCAGTTGCGGCGGCGGCGGTTGCAGCTGAGGCGCCGCTGCCGAGCGCCGTGCGCGGGAGATGGGGGAATCCTGTTGCGACGAGTCCTGAGCGTCCTCCTCCTCCTCCACCTCCTCCTCCGCCTCGTTCCTCCCAGCCGCCCTCTCGGCCGCAGCGACGTCTCCCTCAGCCACGCCCTCGACTGCAGCCGTGATGGCAGGCGCCGCAGCCGCCGCCGCCGCCAGCACCTCAGGCACCGCCACCCCTCCCACTGCCTCCACCATTACCGCCTCGCCGCCCGGCTCCTCTTCCGCCGCTGGCTCCGCCACCGCCACCGTCTCCGCCACCGCCTCCGCCACCGCCTCCTCCACCGCCTCCTCCACCATCTCCTCCACCGCCGCCTCCTCCGCCGCCTCCTCCACCACCACCAGCTCCGCCGGCCGCACTGCCTCTCGCCCCGTCGCATCCATCCCCACCGCAGCCGCCTCTGCCACAAATTCAAACCTCCCAAAGGGGTTGCCGCTGTCGCTCTCCTCGGCAGACGGCCGCCTGATCGCCACCCCGCCGCCCGTCCGCCCTGCCTCCTCCGTCTCGCGAGCCGCGTCGCCGGCCGCCGCCGTCTCGGTGTCCGTGTCGAGTGTGGCTGGCGCGGGATGGACGTGTGCCGGTGCAGGGCTCGCCTCGCCGGCCTCGGCAGTGCCTGCCGGCGCAGCAGCCTCGTGGAAGTCGGCGTCAAAGCCAAATGCGAGCTGTGCGCGCTGACTCTGCCGCGGAGCCGGATCCACTCTGGCGCGCTTGCCCGCCGTGGACGGCTTGTCACTCCTCCGCCTCATCTTGGCCGGGGCACTCGCTCTCTGCTCAGGAGGCACAGCTATGTTGTGTGTGCTGAGAATGCGGCGGAGCACCATGCCGTCGGAGCGGTTGGGCCACTCCGTGCCTTTGGAGTTGCGAAATCCTGCGCCGAGGGGCGCGAATGAGCTTGCGAAGTGTTCTCGGGGGCTGTGAGGGCTCGCACACCCTCACTGTGCAGCGCCGCGTCAATCTGCGCCAGGGAGCAGGAGGACGGAGGCGAAGCGAGAGCACACACGCGAGCGACGAGAGCGGGGTCTTGCTGGCAGCGGCCGCCTTTACTCACCTTGGGGCGCCTCTGGACCTGCTTGCGCTCCTCGAACTCGTCGTCGGCTTCGTCGGAGAGCGGAGCGGCCATTCGCGTGCAAAGCGCCAGCGCGAGCTTGACAGAGCTCCGAAGGAGAAACACCGGGTCCCGAGTACTCCGAGCCTGACTGTTCTTCACCTTTCTAACCTGCTGCTGTTACCTCCGGTCCACACGGGTACTCCCGTGCTAGGACAACAAGGCCCTACGGTACATGGCGTCTCCACACTAACTAGGCGAGTCACACATGTGTCGTGATTGACTCTTTCGTTCGTGACTATTCTCACAGTCGTAGGTTCGGCCCACCCTTTTACCCGCACAGGCGACAGCCCTCCTCTCTCATCCGTCCCGGAACGCCGCCGTCAGCTCGCGCGCGATTGAGTGGACTGCGGACGGACGGCGCCTCGAAGTCGTCGCGGTAGAGGAGGTGGTACCGCGCGCGCATCCGTCCGGCGCACCTCGCCACTCGGCATCCCGCGGAGGAAGGCGAGGGGATTGGGCGGCAGAGGCGCGCCGCCGCGCCCTAGCTGGCCGCCGGGCGCCGCTGCGGTCTTCCTTGCCGCCGCCTGCCTGCGTGCCTGGCTGGTGAGCCGAGCGAGCGAGAGGAACCGCAGCAGGCCCGCGGCGCTCACGACCAGGCTCATATTCGCCCACGGCACGACAATTTGGAAGGGGAGGGTACTCGCGCGAAAAACGTGAAGACGGGGATGCACGCCGCGCGTACGTACTCGAGTAGGCCCTTTCTTTGGCGCCTACCTAGATAGAGAACACACACACACACACACACACACACACACACACACACACACACACACCTCCGCTCTCCCTCCCTCCCTTTTCTCCCCTTAAGCTAAAAAAAGTACGTACGCACCCGGAGAGAGAACGTACCCGGAGGTGACTGCTGGCCCAGTTTTCGTTAGAGCTACATCGGATGCACTGAAAAGAATTTAAACAATGAAAAGAAGTAACTGACTCCCGTTCATCCCGTCAAGACGATTCGCGAGTCAACGATTCTTCCGACTTGACTTGGGGCGAAACGGTAGCGGGTGCGACGGTTTTGCCAGCAACCGCTGACGCGCAGGGTGGTATGGAGGTGCTCGCCCAGGCCTCCGCCGTGGTGATGCAGCAGGAAGAGATCGCGGCTGGCATCCTGTCTGACATCTCGTCTCTCTCTCCATTGAGGAGGGGCACTCTGGTACCGACCGGCGCGTCTGGTGCAGGGGAGGCCTGCCGCGCACCGCAGCCCTTCCCAGGTGCGTGCCCCTAGACGACACAGCGCAGCAATTGCCGTCCCGGGGCCGCGCGCGCATCAGACCGCCAAGCCCCTTGATCTGCCCATCTCCGCGGTACCTCCACAACCCTCCCGCCTGCCGCGCCCCGTTGCAGGCCCTGTCCTGGCCACCTCGACAGCAGTGGCATTGGACGAGGCGTCGCTCCGCCGTCATGCCGGCTGTCTTCTGCCGATTGCCGCAGCCGGAGTGATTTCGACGTCTCCTATGCAGCTTCCCACAGTGGCGGCTCTAAAGACCCCCTCGCCTGTCCCGAGCAAGATGGCCGTCCCTCTGCTTGACGGCCGAGACAGCCGCGGCCGGGCAAGGTGCACGCTTCCGTATACCCCGACGCCGGATTGAAGACGTCTGTCAGACACATCTCTCGGCCAGTGTCTGACCCTCCTAGACGCCGCTGCTGCTGGCGCTGTCACTGCCGCCATTAGCTTCGCCTCCCAGCCTCGGATGCACGACTCTGCCTCGGATGCCCGCCTCCTCCGTGCTCCCTGCCAGGTGGGACGAGGTGGTAGCGTCGCTCGATGGACGCACCGATCGCCCCATCCAGCAGTGGCGAACGATGGCACCGTCAGAGTCGATCAAGGGGCCATGGCGCGCGCTCCTCCCCCGTGCACCGATGACCTTCGTCTGCGAGAGCCGCATTTTCTTATTCCCGCCTTGGCTTCTCCACCTCGCAGGAGCGCGTGCGAGGACGCGCAGCTCACCGAGCTGGTCAAGCAGTTTGGCGGCAAGCAGTGGGCCCGTATTGCGTCCGTCCTTCCTGGTCGCACCGGCAAGGTGCCCCATAGCAGGGATTGCCCTCTGCCGTATCTCGCCGCCTACATGCCCCGGGTAAGGAAAGAATCAGCTCACACACCGCTGGCCCTTCGCAGCAATGCCGCGAGCGCTGGTGCAACAACCTCGACCCGATGCTGAAAAAGGGGGGTTGGACGGCCGACGAGGACGCCGTTATCCTCCGCCTCCACGCCAGCCTCGGGACGCGCTGGGCGGAGATTGCGAAGAGCCTCCCCGGCAGGTCGGACAACTCGGTCAAGAACCGCTGGTACTCGACCTGCTCACGCCTTCTCAAGCAGCAGCAGCAGCAGCAGGGCGAGGGAGGAGGGTCGACCAAGTCCGCGGTCAAGCCGGTAGCCAAGCCCACGGCCACGCCCGCGGCCGCCGCGACGCTGCAGCTGGCGGCCACCCGCACTGAGGAGTGCTTTTCGCCGCTGCCGCGCCGGCCACGCACGCCCGCCGCGGTCGAGGTTGGGGCTAGCTTTCGCTACGACGCCAACAACACGCCCTCTCCAAAGCGCATCAGACAGCCCGAGGAGTCGGGGACCCCCCTAAAGCCCACGGCCGCCACATCAGTCAGTCGCTGGAAGGCGAGCTCGGGTGCAACCTGGCCGATCGAGACCATCGAGAAGGACTTGACGGTGGCGCTGCCCACCGAGCCACAGGCTGTCTGAGCCGGGATCGGACGGGATCGCGAGTCAGCGCCAACCACGCAAGGTGGGTAGCGGGACTTGCGAGCGCCGTATTTTGCGTGGGCGACTTTGAGCGCCCCTTCTTTTGCACCGCGCTTCGCGGTGGTGGTGGTGGGGGGGTGGGGGTGGGGGTTGTTCGTTTTTTGTCCTGTGGATGGAGTGGCGCGGTGGACAGCGCTGCTCTGTGTAAGAGCTGTGAGACAGAGGGACGCGCGGTAAGATTCCACATCCTGGATCGACGCACGACGGCGAGTGTAGGCGCAAGAGGCGGGCGAGGTGGAGGCTGGAGGGCGAACCGTACGTACGTTATGACTCCCCAAGGATCGCCGACGATCGCAAGTGAGGGAGGGCGAGACAATTGTTCTCAGAGACCACCCCGGAGTCTGCTGTTGCTGTGTCGTGCGTCCGATGGTCGCGAATCACCCTCGTTCGGCGGGCACTTCCCCCACACGTTGATAGCCAATCCCGGCGCCGCGTGTTGGACCGGCCGAGATGCAGGTTATGCTGGCGAGCGCCCTGCTGCAACTCTCGACCTTACCATTTTCGCCGCCGCCACCCTCGCCGCCGCCGCCGTCGCCGCCACCACCCTCACCGCCGCCGCCCTCGCCTCCACCGCCTTCACCGCCACCGCCTTCGCCGCCACCCCCCTCTCCGCCGCCGTCCCCCCCGCTGCTGTGCACTAGCATCGCAGGGCGTACCGTCACTAGCAGGTGCAGTCACGTTGCATACCCGGCCAATGACTGCACCAACTTTTACTGGACAAACAACAAGGGCAAGTTCAAACTCTGTGAGACGCCCACCAAGGTCGGCAAGACGAGCTGCGCCTCCTCAGATGCAATCACAGGCTGCTACCCACCCCCCTCCCCCCCTCCGCCTTCCCCTCCACCGCCGTCGCCTCCCCCGCCATCGCCGCCTCCGCCGTCGCCTCCCCCGCCGTCGCCGCCGCCGTCCCCCCCGCTGCTGTGCACTAGCATCGCAGGGCGTACCGTCACTAGCAAGTGCAGTCACGTTGCATACCCGGCCAATGACTGCACCAACTTTTACTGGACAAACAACAGGGGCCAGTTCAAACTCTGTGAGACGCCCACCAAGGTCGGCAAGACGAGCTGCGCCTCCTCAGATGCAATCACAGGCTGCTACCCACCCCCCTCCCCCCCTCCGCCTTCCCCTCCACCGCCGTCGCCTCCCCCGCCATCGCCGCCTCCGCCATCCCCACCCCCGCCATCGCCGCCGCCGTCCCCCCCGCTGCTGTGCACTAGCATCGCAGGGCGTACCGTCACTAGCAGGTGCAGTCACGTTGCATACCCGGCCAATGACTGCACCAACTTTTACTGGACAAACAACAAGGGCAAGTTCAAACTCTGTGAGACGCCCACCAAGGTCGGCAAGACGAGCTGCGCCTCCTCAGATGCAATCACAGGCTGCTACCCACCCCCCTCCCCCCCTCCGCCTTCCCCTCCACCGCCGTCTCCTCCCCCGCCATCGCCGCCTCCGCCGTCGCCTCCCCCGCCGTCGCCGCCGCCGTCCCCCCCGCTGCTGTGCACTAGCATCGCAGGGCGTACCGTCACTAGCAAGTGCAGTCACGTTGCATACCCGGCCAATGACTGCACCAACTTTTACTGGACAAACAACAGGGGCAAGTTCAAACTCTGTGAGACGCCCACCAAGGTCGGCAAGACGAGCTGCGCCTCCTCAGATGCAATCACAGGCTGCTACCCACCCCCCTCCCCCCCTCCGCCTTCCCCTCCACCGCCGTCGCCTCCCCCGCCATCGCCGCCTCCGCCGTCGCCTCCCCCGCCATCGCCGCCGCCGTCCCCCCCGCTGCTGTGCACTAGCATCGCAGGGCGTACCGTCACTAGCAGGTGCAGTCACGTTGCATACCCGGCCAATGACTGCACCAACTTTTACTGGACAAACAACAGCCCGTCCGCATCAGCTGGTTCAGCACGGCCTCGGCATCTGCAGCATCCTGTGCGCCCATGGCGGTCAGCTCGGCCGGCTCAGCATCGGGTGTGCTGTTTGGATCATCCTCCTTCTCTCCCGGCTCCTCCAGCAACGCGCCACCCTGGACATAGGTGTCAGCCAGAGGAAAGCGCAAGCACGGCTGCTTGAAGAAGCCGGTCTGTGCACAGAGGTTGGCGCGGACTCCACAGAATCAAAGGCGCGGACCACATCCACATGTCTTTGCATGTAATAGTTTTGCTATACCCTCATGGGACACAAGAAAGAGGCTGCACGGCCTGAGTACGGTCTGTGCTGCTGTCGGGCTGGTCGGGCTGTCGGGCTGTCAGCGCTGCTGTCAGGCCGCTGTGTGCTGTCGGGCTGTCGGGCAGCTGTCAGGCTGTCACGTTAGGGCCTGACAGCGACGGGACGCCTCTGATGTCAGGCTCTGCTGTCAGGCTGTCAGATACGTGCTGTCAGACTGTCGGAGAAAGTGCTGTCAGCGCTGTCAGGCTGTCGGGCACTGTCATGCGCTGTCCGGGGTTTGCTGTCCCAGGCTGTCAGACCAGGGCTCAGCATATACGTTTACGTACTGCCGGGCGGGGCGGAGATATGGGAGGTGCATGTTCATGTTCATGCGTCACCGCCTGGCGGTAGCAGCACGCTTCTCTAGCATCCCCTGGATAACCTTGAGGCAGGAGAGTAAACAAAACACAACCTGCAGGCACAAACCGTCACCACGAAGTCAAAACATGTTCATGCGTCAGAGAGCTTGATCGCGAGTGCAACCGTGAGCCACGACCAAGGGACGTGCGCTGTGTTTCCGTGCCGATTGATTGTGCACAAGTCGGGGCGCGCGGCGCCGCTCCCCTCGCCGTCCCCCTCGTCGGCAGCCTCGGGCGGCGCGGCGGCGCGCTCGAGCGCGCTCTTGATGATGTTTGGCGTGCGGTTGGGCGCGAGCGGGGCGGAGTGCCGGCAGAGCGGCTCCAGCAGCGGCGCGAGAGGCACCACGCCGAGAAGCGCGCCGCTCTCATCCACGTGGCGGACGGCGGCGCGCATGGCGCCGACGGCGGACTCTCCATCGCAGCCGGGTCCGAGGACGAGGTGGGTGCACCTGCGAGCTCCGGCGTGTGGCGTCACGGGCGGCGCCATATGGGCGTGAGGGGGCCATAGTGCCGAGAGGGGTGGGAGGGTGGGTTGGTCGGGGAGGACGAGCGTCTGGGCGAGGGAGAAGGGCGAGAGCGGGAGCCGCGCACGGGATCCGACTCGCGCGCAGCGCGTGCAGCACCTGCCTGTCGCGGCCGCACTCCGGGTCGCTTGCAAAGTCGACGCCTCCCGTCAGCGAGTCTCCTGGGGGCAGCGAGGCGGGGCTCGAACGGGGATGCAACGTGCGGGAGTGCAGTGCGAAGGGAGGGCCTCCTCCCCAAGCGCCGTGCAGTGTGCCGAAGTCGACCGACAGAGGGCGCAGTGAGTCTCACTCAGAGCTCTCCCCCGTCATAGCCGAGGCACCTCCGAGGTCGACTGCGAGGATCGCGTCGACGCGCCTAGGGATGCGTCCCACGGCGGGCTGCGTGAGGCGGGCTGCGGCGGGCTGCTTGGCGGCTCCAGTGGAGCGCACAGGCGAGCGAGCGAGGAGGTGATAGCCCCGGTGTTTGCACGTGTCACCTCCTCCACAGAAGAAGGCCCCTTCCCGTCCTCCGGCACCACGAGCAGAAAGGGAGAGCCTGCGGGACGGCAGGGCGGTCGGTGACACGAGGCGAGGCGCCCTGGCGAGCCGGAAGCGACACCTTCGGCGCCGCGCGGAAGGCTCTGCTCGAGGCGGGTGGAGCCGTAGCACCCGTCTCCTGCCGCCAGCGGGACGACGTTCGGAGGGCAGCGCCACAGGTGCGGTGCGAGCTGCTCGTGGCTCGGCATCGGCCGCGGAGAAACGCAGTTGGCAAAGAGCACTGTAGCACCCGGGCTCCGAGCCTCCCACGCCTGCGCGAAGGCCAGTGCACCGAGCACATCGCAGCCTCCGCCCATGCCGATGACGATGCCGCGTTGGCCCGACCGCAGCGACGGCAGCTCAAATATGCTGAGCGCGCGGGGCAGGAGGCCATCGTAGAGGCACATAATTGGGGCCGGAAGGACCAACGAGCACCGCGCCACCGCTCCACCGGCCGGAGGGTTTCTTGTTCTCCTGCCACCTACCCGGGTACTCGAGTAGGTGTGCTCGATGCCGAGCGCAGGCAGTGCCCACAGGTCGGACCTTAAGACAGGGGATATCACTTTACTGCAGCAGGCGAAAGTAGGTGAAGCCCCAAACCTGGCTGCGCTGCCAAACGCGTCGTCCTCCGCAAATCGCAGCCCATTAGCCCTTCTGAGCCTCCTCCACTAGAAATTGGGCGACGCGCGATGTCGGCGATCGGTACAGTATCCAAGCACCCTCGGTGGTGAGGTGCCTCTGCATGTGACGGACAGACCTACGCATCCCAATGAAGCCAGAAAAAGAAAGAAAGAAAGAAAACAGCCAACCCAAGGGAGGGATGGGAGGACGGTACTCCGCCACCACACAGGGATTTTAGGGGAGAAGTGTGGTGTTAGCCGTCGCCCACCCTCGGGCGTCTACCACTTCCTATCTCTCTCCGCAGTTTATCACCGATTCTTGCAGCGACCTTCATGCCACCTCGCATTCTTCCCACTCTCGTCGTTCTCTCTCCTGCTTTCTCTTCCCCTGACTCATCGCTCTCCTCGGCCTCGTTCTGAGACGCCGCTGTCGTCTGCCGATCTCTTGCTTGCTCTCGCTGCTTCTCTCGCCTTTCTGCGTAACTCCGCTCTCCTCTCCGCGTATTTTGGTCCCTCGAGTTTATCGAGCATTCCTCGCGCAAGGACCACATTTCTGACTCCCACTGCGAGCATATCCCGCCCTGTGAAGCCGTTGCTCAGGTCCACTCTCGTTTGAAGCCAGAAGAGGGGCAGATGCGCAGGCCGTGAATTATTCTCACGTGCCGAACGCCATCCCTCCTCTCGTGATCCCGCTGTCACATGCTGCTGTGCCTCATCGCCGGCACTGCGCACGGCGTGCACATCCAGCTGACGCCGCAGGACGCTCTGGCTTCGGTCGCCATATTTGCGACCGGCGATCTCGTCGCTCAGCAGATGGAGCGGAGGCTACAGATTGCTCGCAGATGGATCGGGCCGCTGTCGGCGGACAGAGCCGTGGCTGCGCCCGTCCCCCTTGTGCAGCCTCGGCGCATCGCGTCGGCCGCCGGCCTTGGCTTTGTCTACGGCGGCTTCATGCTGCCATCTGTTTATCAGCTCGCCGAAGGATTATTTCCCGGAGTCTCGCCCGCCAAGGCGTGTATTAACTAGCATCGGTGGTTGGGTGGTTAGGTTTCGTGGTCTCTTCGCTTCAACTTCTGGTGCTCGCCCTTCAGGTGCTCGCCAAGGTGATTGTCTCCTGCAGCCTCCTCTCCACCTTGGGCAACTACTTCTCGCTGCTGTGGCGACGGTACGCGCAACCATCGCCGCAGCCGGGCGAGGGCTTGGCGTGCCGCCTCTCGCGCTGCTGCTGCACGGTGACGGCCGAGATGCCGTCGGTCCTCTCAGCCGACCTGCGCGTCTGGCCGGCCTATGACGTGATCACCTTCGCTGTGATCCCGCCCCTCGTACGGCCCTTTGCGACCGCCTTTGTGTCCACTGCCTGGCACACGTACATGGCCTATCGCGCCGCTGTGCCGCAGGGTGACACAGAGCACTGCAAGATTGGCTGAAGGGGTGCCCGAACGCGGTGAGAGATCTAGAGCGGGGGCGAGCTGCTTATTTCTCTTTTACTATTTAGAGCGTCTGGATATTTATTACGAATAGTGCTAGTCCCCCATCGGCCATCGGGACGCACGGGAGGACGACCCCGGCTAGTCGCCGACCACACCCACAAAGAACCCTGCACAAAGATCGCAAGGGCGGGGACCTGTTCCTATTTACCCATCTCACAGTAGAGGTGTCCGTTTTTATTTATTTATTTATTACGAAAAGGAGACGGCAGACAGGTCTAGAGCGTAGAAGACGCAAGACGGTAGAGCTAGAGCGTAGACCGTAGAGCCGTAAAGCCGTTAGAGGTAAGAGGAGGGTATACGTCAGTATCAGGGTATCGGCGATAACCTGAACCCTGATACTCGTGCGTTGGGGGGCCGCCGGCCGAGCACGCGCTCCCATGGTCTTGTGTGCTCCACGAAAGGCGGAGCACACAAGGGCTACGCTGCACGAGTAATTGAAATCTCTAGTCTTTTTTAGAGATTGAGAGCTTAAAGATTTGAAAGACTCCACTCGGGTCTACAGTGCTACCCAGAGATTTGAGACCAGAGATTTGAGATTTGAGACGGCTCAGTCACTCGGCCTCCGGTGGGAGACTTTGAGATTAGAGACCAGAGACTTGGAGAATGAGATTTCCCACACCAAAAGGAATCTGCGGTCGAGTTCGCTCGAGATTCAAGATTTGAGACTGAAGATTTTGGACGGCCTCCAACCTAGAGATTTGAGAGCTGAGATTTGGAGATTTGCGGCGTGAATACTGAGACAAGAGCCTCGAAGCTTCTAGAAGGGTTGGGTGGGTTTGACCTGCAGTGAGATTGAGGTCTGAGGTCTGAGATTTGAGATTGAGATTTGAGATTGAGATTTGGGGCCCGGGGAGCCTGCGGCGCCATTTTAATCTGCGCTCCTCTTTATGGCCTGCGGCGCCTGGCTTGAGCTTGGAAGTGTAAACGAGTCCGCCAGGGCGGTCTGCAAACACGGAGCGCGCTGCGCGCGCGGTCTACGCCGAATTAGATGAGAGGGACAGCGCTATCCGCAAAGGCTCGACCAGCTGCGGCGGCTCGTCCGCAAAGGTCGTCCACTCCTTGGCGTACGGCTCAAAGCCGGTGTGCGAGTGGAGCATCTGCGTGTCGAGGCGCCACAGCATCTCGCCCTCAAAGATGATGTCTCGCGACAGCTGGACGTACTTGCGAGTCCGATCCATCGCGCCGTCATACGCCGCACCTGCTTGCCCTGAGCCAGCCGAGTTGACTCCTCGGCATATGAGAGGTTGTGCTTGGCGCGGCAATCTGGGCAGCGCTTGCAGTAGAGGAGCCTGTCAAAGCGCCCGTGCGTGCAGTATACGGTTGGACGGACGGGCTCGTCGCTGACCACAAGGCGCACCTTCTGCCCTTGCAAAGCGCAGACGGCGCAGAACTCAAGGGACCAGGTGGAGCGGCGTGGACTTCTCCTGCTCATGGGAGCGCATGGGGTCGAGAAGATCCACGAGAGCGCTGATGCCCGCCTCGCTCTCGATGCTGCTGACGAGGACGTTGATGGTCGTGGACGCGTGCTTTGTTTGCATGTCGGCAGCGATGACCTCTGCGCGATCGGGTGTGTCGACTGGGTAGCGGGCCATGCCGAGGAGAAGCACGACGATCTCATCCTCACTCTCGAGCGGCCACAGCTTCGTGGAGAACCGCCTCAGGCGGCGGCGAGATGGGCGGCGGCGGCGGCGCAAAGCATTGCAGGCCGAGCGTGCTGCTTTCAGTCTCAATCTCAAATCTCGAGTCACGCTGGCCTACTCAGTAGATTTCGGTGCGAGGTAAAGGCGTTGGAAGGTTGAGGAAGTTCACAGCATTCTGCATCGAAAACGGAATCTCTCTTGCTTGCAGTCTCAGTCTCTCCCACCCCTCATCGAAATCTCAAACTCCCAAAGCGAAAAGGAATCTTCGCCATTTGAGATCTCACGCGTTTCCTCTAGAAACTCACACCGAGCGACGGGAAGACTGAGATTTCGTGGCTGAAGTCTCGACGAAGATTTGGGAGATCTCAAGGGCGGGACTAGAGACTGAGATCTGCCCTGAAATCTTCAGGCTGAGCCCTGGCCTCGACACCTCGACACCAAACCTCGACACCAACTCGACACCAACTCGACACCTCGACACCCCATGCCAACTCGACCAACTCGACACCCCTCGACACCCCTCGACACCCCTCGACACCCCCTAGGCTGAAACCATGCTCGACCGTGTCAAGGTGCCAAACTCGACACCTCGACACCCCTCGACACCCCTAGGAAAGATGGGCGGCCAGTCTCTTTCTGCCGCACCATCCACGCACATACGACCTCAGACGGACAGACCTCAGTGCTCAGTCACAGTGCTCAGACGTGTATCGTGTCCGCACACCACACCCTCAGCCTCGCGAGTGTCGAGATAGAGACTCGCGAGAGAAAAACGCGACCGAGTCGCTGTGTCGGAGGTGCAGGTGCGGGGAAACGAGCGGGAACGAACGAGGAATCCTCACACAATCATCACACATACAACGAGGGGCAGACACACAGACACACAGAGGCACAACATGTACATGTGCTTGAGCACACATGACCACACCGGGAGGGACGCTCACCACCGGCCGGGCCTTCGCGCAGCACTAGGCACCGCTTGGAGCACTTGGAGTGCAGTCAGTGACCTCACACATCCAGAGCTCTTGGAGCACTTGGAGTGCGGTCAGTAAGAACCGCCTCGACTGCCTCACATCCATCCAGGACGCCCCCCCTCCGACTCCGCTCCCCCGCATTTGCCTCCCCTCTCAGAGGGAGATGACAGTGGGAGTGGCTGTACGCTCCTGATGATCGCAGCCGGCTACGGTCATGCACAGCTGGTCGAGCTGCTGCTGAAGTGTGGCGCGGTGGTCGACCTGCAGAACGGTGCCGGCTGGACTGCGCTCATGAGTGCCGTCTACCGCGGCCGGTCCGCCATCGTGCTGCGGCTGCTGCGTGCGGGCGCAGACATGACGCTGCGCACTCCGGGAGGGACGGCGCTGCAAAGGGCCAAGGAGGGGGGCCACACCGAGTGCATCGAGGCCTTCCGTCAGCACCTCCGGGAGGTGACGGGGAGCGGTGAGCGGGCAGCGGTGGAGGCGGGCTCGACCGGGGACGACGCGGCGGCAGCGAGTGCCGCGCCCCCTTCGGACGGGGTGGAGGGCGATTCGGTGGAGGGCGATTCGGGCGTGGACGCCGTCCCCGACGAGGTCCTGGACGCGACTTGGGAGGGCGACGAAGCGGCAGTGCTGGCCTGGCTCGACTGCGGCGTGGCGGTTCGACCGACCATCAGAACAGTGAAGGCGAGCCCGCGCTGATGTGGGCCGCTGACCAGGGCTACGAGCGGGTGGTCGATGCACTGCTTCAGCACGGGGCGGAGCTCAACCTGCAGGGGCAAGACGGCGCTGATACTAGCCGCCATCGACGGCCACGAGGATGTGGTCTACACGCCGATACAGCACGGGCGGAGGTGAACCAGCAGACCATCGACGGATGCACCGCGCTGATTATCGCCGCCCTCTTCGGACGCGCCGCCGTCGTGCTCCGCCTGCTGCGGCGCTGACGAGAAGCTGCGCGTTCTGGCGATCTCTCACGACACGCCAACAGTGAGGGTGTGAGAGACAGACCCAGGAGGCCCTACAGCCCATGTCCATGTCCAAGCTGAGGCTTCACACAAACAAGAAGAACCGGCAACCCCTACCCGCCCAGCGGCCCCAAGTCACACAGAATGTCAAGGGGACGGTCGAGAAAGGGACAGACCCAGGTATCAGCGCAACGTCGATCACAAAGACTTTTCTCTCTCTTCACAAATACGCTCGGCGCCGGGTACCGCCTCGGGATAAATCTGCCTGAACCCAGACTATTTCACAGCTCACAGCCTGATGCGAGCCGCCGCCGCCGCCCCCGCCCGACGGCGGCCTGGCCCCCTAGACTTCGCCCAGGCGCAGCGCGCTTGGTTCTGCCCTCCCTCAGGCCGGCCAACCTGCAGCCAGCGGCCGAGGCGGTGGAGGTGGGCAGGCTCATCCTCAAGGCGGCGGAGTGGTCGCCGCAGTCGCACGAGCTCTTCCCGGAGCCGGCGCGGCTCGCAAGTGGGCGGTCGAGGTGATGGCTGATGCGGCTGGGCCGTACCCGTGATCGCGTGCGGCGTGGGCTGGGACGAGGAGCGCTTCGACAGCCGCGAGGGAGGCTCGGGAGCTGGCGGACGTCTGGCGCGGCTTTGTGCTGCCAAGACGCGACAGTGAGTGAAAAGAATTCTAAAAAATTAAGCCATGTGAGGCTACCGACTGCACAGAAAACTTGCTAAAAGTGAAGTGAAGCTCGCGGCGGCGGAGGACGCGCCACCGTCGCCTAGACTCCCCTGCGTCACTACGTGCCTCCCCGTGTTTGTAGCCTTGCGTTTGTGCCCCGTTTGTGCCGCGTCCCGTGCAATGAAGTGGACGTTGACAGTTTGTACTCCGAAGGTGTTGGGGTTTCTTAGTGCACGCTGAGAAGGCACTTGGAGCACTTGGAGTGCAGTCGGCAGCCTCACATCCAGGGCCGGGGAGCTAAGAAGCACACCCAGCGGGCCAGATGAGCGGGATCGGGTTGCGGGCAAGAAAGCCCTAGCCCTAGGGGGTGCGCCAGGGGTGCGCGTTCGCAGGGAAAGGGCCGTAAAGTAAACACGGGTCTCCGAGGGTTGGCCCCGCGTACCGGGTGTCCCCTTAACTGCAGGACGCGCCCTCTACTCAGAGCTAATAGACACAACACTGCACACCTGCGACGGTGTATCATTCACTTTATGCCACCGTACGTTGCATATCCGGATATGCAACGGTGGCATAAAGTGAATGATACACCGTCGCAACACCACTCTCCTGTACAGACACCTGCTTAGACCCTCGTTTCGGGGCTCACCGACCGTCCTCCCGGGGCTTCCGGTTCTCCCCTTCGCTCGCTTGCTCGTCAGCCGAGCAACATGCGACAGCCGCTGTGGCCGTTTCCCTCGTTGTTGGTGTCGCTTCCTCCGATGCTGTCTCTCTTCTTCTCCATCTTCTCCCGGCTCCACCGGTTCCGAGTGCGTCGATGGCCCGGCCGAGGTTTCCCCGGGCAGGGGCGGCGGCACTGGATCGTCCCGCCTGATTAGACGTGGGCGCCCATGGAGGGGAAGAGTTCATTATATTTGGGTTGAATAGCCGGCACCACGGTTGGTACAGCGGCATGCCACGACCCTCAGCCTTTGCCCAGCACCACCACTTCCAACCCACGCCATCAATGATCGACGCATTACCTGGAAGCGCCGCACCGTTTGAGCCCGTCACGCTCACATTCGTGAGGTTGGCGCCGCGAACGAGTGCGTCAAAGTTTGCCACATGCCGACCACCAAACCACTGCAGCGAGACGCTGTAGTCGCTCGGATCGGAGCTTCCATAGAGGCCAGCGCCCAGGGCGAGGTGGAGACGCAAGTTTGAACGGAGGTGGATGCTGGCCGCGGGACGATAGGCACCAGGTGGGACGAGCACTGTGGATCCCGCTGGTGCAGCCCGGTGGCAAGTGTCGATCGCCGCCTGGATGGCAGGCGTGTTGAGGGTGCGGTTGTCACCGACGGCCCCGTGGTCGAGGACGGAGCAGATGACGCCCGTAAGCGGTGGGTCGACCACGGTCTCTGGTGGAAAAAAGGCGAGTGCAGCGAGGGCGACGTGCATTCGTGCATTCAGAGCATCCCGCCCTCAGGCCGCAGACGCTGTCGCCGACACGCCGCTACCTAGGTACCACTGCGAGTGCCTCAGCGTGAGTCGAAAATGCCTCCGCCGAAGGCAATCGCTAATGGGGGGTCCTGCAGCGTCGCCTCCGCCTCGGAACTCGTACGAACGTTCGCGTGTCAACTGACCAGTGTACCATACCATACCCGGAAAAAGTTGGAACCCAGGGCCATCTTTTCGTGGGAAATGTATTCTCTTCCACAAAGGAGGGTGCCGCGCGCGGCCGATCATCATATGCGCATGGGCAGTCGGCGAGGGGGCAGACGTAGGGCTTGTCATCGGCCGGGCGCGGGATCGGTCGACGGGATCGGGTCGGTAAGTGTGAAGGGAGAGTCAGGGATTACTTGCGCGACGCGGGCAAAGGGGCCCGCGGCGGCGGGGGAGACGGTGACAGCAGAGGCGGGGACGAGCAGCGGCGGGCCTTCCCCGTCGTCGTCGGGGCTCTGGGAGTCTAGGCCGTGTGGTCTCCACCCTCCTCCTCCTCGGTCGGAGAGGTCGTCGTCGAGTGGCGAGCCCAGGTCGCTGTTGGCGTCGGATTGGCGGTGGGCGTCGGCGGCGGGCGGCGGGCCTAGGCGCGAGGGTCCGAGGTTTTCAGTGTACTTTTGTTCTCTCTCTCTCACTGTGTAGCTAAGGGGGGCCGCCAGGTACTCGAATTTCTTGTCTTCCACAGGGGTGCAACATCACAGGGGTGCAACATACATGCGACTCCGTCCGCCCCAGCTCGGTCGCCTCGGCCAGCGAACCCTCTCTCCTCGCCGGCTGAGCAGCGGGCCCGCTGCGGCGCTGCCAGCCTCGGTCGACGCGGTCGTCATCGGTGGTGGCTGCGTCGGCGCCTCGGCGTGCTATCACCTGCAGGAGCAGGGCCTCTCGACGCTGCTGCTCGAGGCTCACTCGCTCACGGCCGGCACGACGTGGCACACCGCTGGGATGCTGTGGCGGCTGCGCCCGTCCTACGTCGACATCGAGCTGCACACGCACACGCGCGAGCTTGCGATGCGCCTCGAGGAGGCGCCCGGCGCCGCGTGGACTCAGAACGGCGGCCTCTTCATCGCGGGCAACAAGGAGCGGCTCGCCGAGTACGAGCGGCTGGGTCAGACGGGAGAGTACTACGGCATCGCCTCCGAGGTCCTCTCGCCGAGCGAGGTGCCCAGGGTGCACCCTCTCCTCCGGACAGACGACGTGTACGGCGCTCTCTACTCGCCGACCGACGGAGCGCAGCCCGGCCAAGGCGCGAGGGAGAGGGAGAGCGTGTCGTCGACACGAACACGCCGGTTCTCTAGGCACGCTCGACCCAGCCGGGCTAGTCAGCGCGTACACCAAGGGCGCGCGGAGGCTTGGCGCCACAGTGCGCGAGGGCGTGCGAGTGGCGGGTCTAGTGACAGAGGAGCGCCTCTCCCCTCCCTGCTGGCTGGCTCTCCTCCTCCCTGCTGCCGCTGCCCTCCCTGCTGACCGCCCGCCCGCCGTCGCCTCCCCAAGGAGTACGCGAGCCCCACAGGGACGGTCGGCCGGCGGGTGGTTGGCGTGCACACCTCCTGCGGCCAGACCATCCGGACGGGCCACGTGGTGAACGCGTGCGGCGCGTGGGCGGGCGCCGTGTCGGAGATGGCTGGCGCACCGCTGCCGCTGCTCGCGATGAAGCACGCGTACGTCGTGACGGAGAGCCGCGCGAGAGGGGCGAGGGGCGGGGCCCGTGGACGGCGTCTCTTCACACCCGTCTCGCGTGAGCAGGAGCCGCTCGAGGGGATGCACGGCGGGCTGCCAAACGTGCGGGACCACGACCTGTCCGTGTACCTCAAGGCGCAGGGCAGCGCGATGGCCATCGGAGGGTACGAGACCAACCCCGAGTTTTGGGCACAGCCGGCGTCCGACTTTGCGTTTGGGCGCCGCCAGCACGACTGACCGCCGTCGCTGAACGCCGGTCCATCACCGCAGCCCATTCTGACTCGCCAGGCTCTTTGACCTCGACTGGGACACCTTCCTCCAAAACATGACGGGGCACGTGCAGCGCTGCCCCGCCGTCGAGCACACCGGCATCGCCTCGACCGTCTGCGGTCCCGAGTCCTTCACCCCCGACCACAAGCCTCTCGTCGGGCCGCAGCCGGGCGTGCGCGGCTTGTGGCAGGCGAGCGGCGGCACGCGAGAAAGCTTCGCGCGAGAGAGCCACACGCGCACGCGCGGGGCGGCAGAGGCCGCGCGTGGGGGGGGGGGGGGGGGGGTTCCGCCCTTTGAGGCCCCCGCTGGGCCGACCCCCCCCAAAAATCCCCCCAGGGGGGGGGGTTCAACTCCATGGGCATGATGCTCAGCGGCGGAATCGGCAGAGAGCTCGCCGCGTGGGTGCTGCACGGCGCGCCCACCCTCGACCTGTTCGGCTTCGACCCGGCGCGCTTCCACGCGTCCACCGTCGCCGACGCGCGCTGGGTGCAGGACCGGACGCACGAGTCCTACGCAAAGACGTACGCGATCGTCTTCCCGTCCGACGAGCCGCTCGCGGGTCGTGGCGCCCGCCGCTCCGCGCTGCACGACTGCCTCGCCGCCGCCGGATGTGTCTTCCAGGCGCGGCACGGCTTCGAGCGGCCGGGCTGGTTCGTCGGGCCGGACGTCGGCGCAGGCGCGCTGCCGCGGAGCTACGACTACTACGGCGCGTATGCGGACGAGGAGAGCGGGTGGCGGTTGGGCGCCGGCCGCGCCGATGTCGCCGCGCACGAGTCGCACCCGTACCTCGACTTTGTGGAGGGCGAGCTCACTTTTGGCTGGCCGGCCTCGTTCGGCCGCGTGGCGGAGGAGGCGAGGGACACCGCCCGAGACGCCCCCCCCACCCTTCCTCCTTTTCCCCACACCACCACGCGCTTCTCTGGCGCCACTCGCCTCTCCACGCACCTGCCTCTCGACGCCCACGGCATTGCGCACGCCACAGCCGCAGAGACGCCCGCGACTCGTCCGGCAGGTGCGCGCGGCGAGGTCCGGCGTCGCGCTCTTCGACCAGTCCTACTTCGGGAAGCTGCTGATCAGCGGCCCGCGCGCCGACGCGGCGATGCAGTGGGTGTGCGGCAACGACATGGAGGGGCGCGCCCCGGGCGCCGTCGTCTACACGCCGCTCTGCAACGCGCGCGGAGGCGTCGAGGCGGACGTGACGGTGACGCGGCTGGCTGACAACCGCTGGTACATGTGCACGGGCGGCGCGACGGCGTCGCACGACCTGCGCTGGATCGAGTCGGCGCTCGACGAGGGCGGGTTTGGCGGCGGCGTGTCTGTGGCCGACATCTCGGACGAGCTGACCCTGCTCTCGGTGCAGGGCCCGCTCTCGCACCAGCTCCTCGCGCCGCTCGTCGGCGGCGGCGCCATCGACGACCTCTCCGCCTTCCCGTTCTCGACGGCGAGGGAGGGACTGACGGTGGCGGGCGTGCCGGACGTGCGGCTGCTGCGGCTCACCTTCGTGGGCGAGCTGGGCTTCGAGCTGCACATGCCGGCGGGCGGCGCGCCGCAGGTGTACGCCGCGCTCCGCGAGGCGGGCGCCGCCCTCGAGCGACGGAGCGGCGCGCCCGTGCGCGACGCCGGCTACTTTGCCATCGACTCGCTCTCGGCGGAGAAGAGCTACCGCCACTGGCACGCCGACCTGGCGTGCGGCGACTCGCCGCAGGAGGCTGCGATCGGCTTCACCGTCCTGCCGAAGCTGCGGCGCGAGGACGCGCCCGGCTTCCTCGGCCGCGACGCGCTGCTCGCCAAGATGCAGAGTGGCCTGCAGCGCCGCATCGTCACGCTGACGCTCGACGCCGACGGCGGGCCGGGCGGGGCGCCGCCGCTGCACGGCGCGGAGCTCATCGAGCGCGACGGCGAGCCGCTCGGCATCGTGCGCTCCACCGCGTACGGGCACAGCATCGGGAAGCAGGTGGTGACGGGCTACGTCCGCTGCCCAGACGGGCTGGAAAAGATCACGCCCAAGTGGCTGCGCGAGGGGTCGTGGGCGGTGCGCAGCAAGCGGCGCGCGCCGCTGCCCGCGACGCTCCACCTCAAGGCGCCCTTCGATCCGGAGGGTAAGCGGATTGCTGGCGACTACTCCGAGGCGGAGGACTTGCTCGAGGTGGCCCAATAAGCGGAGTACTCACTTGCTCGAGGCGTGACGAGGGCGCGACTGACCGTGAGGCCGCCCACTCGCGCCTCAGTTGGAGAGTATAAACGCGTGTACATTCAGATATCTAAGACCATGTGAAAAGGGTCGCATAGCCTTGTGATCGGAGTTGTTTCTGATCACCTGCCTACTCAAATCATCCGTGGAGCACCGCGGTGCGAGCACCGCGGGATCTCTCGATCATGCACCGGCGGCTTTGCCCCGCCCACGACTCTCGGGTCTCGAGCGGTTTGCTCGCTCTCGGACAAGGCGGAGCAGAGGGGACCCGGGGCCATCCTGCACTGCCTGTGATAGACTGACTGCGACAAGTTGAAGGCCACGCTCTTCCACCGCTTGATCAAGGTGGTCGTCAGCTGGTGGCTAGCTTGCGCAGAGCCAGTGTCAGCACCGCAGTCCGATCCCGCTCCCGACGAGGGATGCGATCTGGCGGAAACGACAATTGCGGCCACGCAGTGTGCAAAAGCAGCGGTCTCAAGCATCACCTGACGCGAATGATCACTCCAGATCTCCCTCGCCTCCATCGCGACAGGCGAGACCCCGAGCGGTGTGGCGGCAGGGACTGCGTCCGCAGCAGCGCGAATGACAGCGAGTGACGCGATGAGCGATTGCGGGTAGCCCTTCGTGGCCAACTTGGCAGCGCGAATGAAGTTGAAGTAGCCGTCCCCGCAACTTGGGCCACAGCTTCCAACGGTCTGAGGGCAGCCACCTTGGAACGGGTCGGCCAGCTGAACGCTGCTTCTGCCTCCTCTCTGCCATCCCTCGTTCAACTTCTCTCCGTACGCCAGGTTCATCGTCGCATGCCACCAATTATCAGGGAAAAAATTATTCGCGCGGCCGTTGCACGCACACCAGCGGACGCTCGCCAATAGCACGTCCGCTCAGATGAGGCGCCCAGCCCTCTGCGGGATAGAGAAAGGGCCCAACCTTCTTGGACAGCTCAGCGGTCATGCCCGACGGAGGCAGAAGGAACCATGCCTTGTCTCCCAATATTTGCATCTGCCAATTGGCTCGATGGAAGTGAAAGGGAAGCCCACTGCCGGGTCCGCCAATGAGAAGATTGGTAGACGAGGGCTCCCGGCCGCCGTCGAGCTGCCGGGGAACGCCAAGCGTGGAAAAGAGCCTGTGGCAGAAGATGCTACGGCAGTGGAAGAGGCTCACATATCGGCCGCGGCTCTGATTGTGCCACGTGCTTGCGAGGTTCCTCAGCGTCCCGTAATCCTGAATTCGCAATGCGCGTTGTTGCTCGGCGGGCAGTGCAAGCTGCCCACCGGCCTGTGTGTAGCCTGGCCGTGATTGACAATCGTGTCGCCATATTCGTCCAGGAACTCGCGACTGGTTACTCGCAGAGTGTGGGTAAACGAAAAAAGTAGCGCGCAATTCGTCTACGTACGGCTTAGTGTGTGGTTGGGGTGGCCTCAGGCATCCCCAAGGGAGCCTCTGCGGTGCCACATAAGCAGCTGAGTGATTGTCGAGACTTTAAAGGATTCGTTTGAAGAAACGCAAACAAGACAAACGGTACTATGGTCACCAGTAAACGAAAATTCGACTTTGAGGGATCATATCTCAAAAGGCTGGGTGAGAGCATAGCATTATTGTTGCATATTATACCACATAAGGTCAAACTTGACCCCAGAAGCATCAAGAACCCGATGCTCCGGCTCGACTGTGCCGGCACACTGCCTCCTCGCGCACGCTGCTCGCAGGCCGTTGCGGCCCGTGGTGCACCAGAGAGAGAGGTCGACGCGTTGCCCCCGCCGGCGACCCCGCGCGGCTCAGGCCAGCCAGAAGGTGTGTGGTGACGGCACCGTGGCAGGAGTGCGGAGAAGAGCTCGCCGAACGCGAGCAGCAGATGGCCAAAGTGTGCCAGCGCGAGAGCCTCGCGAGCGGGCGCAGAAGGAGCTCGCCGTGACACGATGCCGGGCGGTGGTGGTGCTCTGGCGACTGTGCACAGTGGGCAAAGTCAGGCTGCAACAGGGCAGCACGTTGGTAGTGCTCTGCTGCAGCCTGGCCTGACATGCACAGGGCGAACAGAGGCGGTACTATCGTCCGGCGCTCGTCACCGAATCTGGGCGAACTTCGACCGCCGCCACAGCTCACCACGAGCACGCAGCGACAAAATGTTGACTGTATGGAAGTCGAGGCTGGTCCATAGGAAGAGGCTGCCGTGCGAGCCGGCAGCTGGCTGGCTCGTCGTGGAGTGTCGCGGCGACTTTTTTCGGTGTCTTTCTTGATAGTACCGAATACGGTACTTTCGTTTACCCACACTCTGCGAGTAGAGGCCCACGCTTGAGCGCTTCATCAATTCAGGGGAGGGCTTGAAGAGCACCGGAATCTGCGGATAACCCTCGGGATGCTTCTTCCGCCAGTCCTCCAGCGTCAGTATTGGTAGGTCGCAATCCGAGCGCTGACCCCAGTCGGAACGCGGAGTCTCACGCTGGGAAGTTGGCAGGGGGGGGCTGTGAGAGGAGGACGATCTCCGTTCTTGAAACCCCCCGGCGGAGGGCCTACTCCACGATGAGTTGGTTGGCGCGGGAGTCATCAAGCTTGATTCCCGAAAGCCGAAAGTTGGGCGGGAGTCATCAAACTTGACTCCCGAAAGCCGAAATTCCCGAAAGCCGAAAAGGGCCTTAAGATGAGTTGGTTGTACGAAAACTAAGTAAGTCGAGTTTTATGTTTCTTTTTGCAACGACGTAACGGAAACCGTCACATGGACATGGGGAAACGTCATGGGCACCTCCCGCTCGTATGCCTCGAGCGAGCGCGCTTTTCTCGAGTCGCTGGAGCTGCCGCCCGATTCCTTTGAGGGAGAGCTACCAAGGACAGCAGCTCAAGCCGACGTCGAAGTATCGAGGGGCACGGAGACTTTAGAGACAACAGGCACCGCAAATCGTGCGCGAGCAGCCTCCGTCCAGGACAAGGGGGTGAGAAACAGGCAGTTGGCACGGGTCCGGTTGCAGCTCATATGCTCGGGAAGTACGCCTGCTGTTGGTGTGTCATTGCACGTGTCCGTAACGAGTCAACAGTCCACCGCATCTCCGACTCCTCTGCCACGCGACAAAACGACGGCGTTGCCGCCGTCGCCTCCAGCTGCTGCTTCGTCGCAGCCTCCACCTCGCAAGGCGCAACAACCACCGCAGGCTCAATCGACGCCAAGATCGTCACCACCAAAGCCGTCACCGCCTCCCAAGCGGCCACCGCCTCCAAAGCCGACACAGTCAGCACCACGGGAACTCAGCCGCCAACCTGCACCTCGGATCACAAGCTCCGCCCAATCGAGCGAGGCCTCGCCAAAGGCTGTGCGAGAACCGCGCCAGCTCGATGCTGCAATGGCACAAAAGCTGTCCGCCGGCTCGGTGCTGCCCGCTGCGAAGCGCTCTGATGGCTCGCGCAACGAGAAATCCAAGGTACTCGCGGCAGCCAGCCCACGCGCCGTGGATGGAAGAAAGGCATGTTCTTCACCCCCATTGCTTAAAGTTGCTCCGCAGTCGGTTGAGACGGCAGACCACCCAGGGCACGGGGCTCGGCCCGGGGGGCTCCGCCGCGAGATCCACGGTAGGCTAGCGGGCGGTTCGCTGCAGATTCACGAAATTATGATTGGCGACAAGGACTACCCCCCGTACAGGCTCAGCCTGTCGGTGGATGGGCACCAGCACAATGGGAAGGACGGTTCTATGCTTGGGATGTGGGTCCAGCGAGATCGAAAGCCCAACAAGACGTTTTGGGACTGGAGGTCGCTGACAGGCGAGCTGCTCCTGCAACCACCGGGCCAAGAGGCCAGGGATGCCCGTACAGCACCAGGTCAATCGGCGGACGCATCCATGGCAGCCCTGCAGAGGGTGATCTATCAGGGTCGCGTGCATCCTGGCCGCCTCTTCGTGGCGGTGGGCGGAGTGGGCGGAGGCACGAGCGCGCGTAGCCAGCCGTACTCGCTTCGCTTCTCCGTCGAGGGCCGGGCCGGGGACGAGCCGGGCGACGCCCTCTTCTGCGGGACGGGCAGGCGGGTGGAGGGCGACAGCAGCTGCTACGAGGGCGATCACTGGTGCGGGCTCCGTCACGGCGTTGGCACGGCAACAACTAAAATAGGATTGCTCAGCGGTGAGTGGCGATTGGGTCAGCCGTACAACGCCGAAGGCAGCTTCGCGATGCTGTGCACCAAAGACGGCTCGCTCGCTCGCGAAGGCGTGTCGGGCGCAGCAAAGGCGGTCTTCCAAGGCAGCTTCACCTTGGGCCGGCGAGGAGGGGAGCGCAGTAGCCTCACCTTCCAGGACGGAGATCGCTTGGTCGGCAGCTGGAGCGCTGACGGAGAGTTTATGGAGGGGACGGTGCGGCACACCTACACGAACGGCGACGCCTACGACGGGGGCTGGAGGACCACCGGGATCGCTGGGCAAAAGCGCGGCGTCCGGCACGGCGAGGGCGTCCTCACACGAGCAGGTGACGGCGGCGACAGGCTGCAGGGCTTGTGGAAGGATGACTGGCCCTGGAGCATGAAGGCTGCCGGCTGGTGGTCGGGTAAGCGCCACTGCTGGTGGGGGGAGTATCGAGGAGATTGGGAGGACGGCGCGCCGCACGGCACGGGCGAGGCCATCCTGCTGCGCACGGAGCTCGAACCTGTCCGCTTTAGTGGGGCTTGGCGTGCCGGCCAGTGGTGTGGCGACGGGCTGCTTGCACTCGGCCCACGATCGATTCGCGGCACCTTCCGAGGCACGTTTCACGACTGCGTTGTGGCGCAAGGCTTCCTCGAGCCCGGCGGTGGGAGCTTCTCCGGCAGGCTGCAGGAGGGCAAAAGGACGGGGGGCGGCGTGCTCCACTGCTCTGAGGGGAGATACGAAGGCCGCTTTGCCGGCGACGAGTTCGAAGGAGAGGGCAACTTTGTGTCGGCGGACGGTACGGTCGAATTCAGAGGAAGCTTCGCGCGTGGGCGGCGCCACGGTCCTGGATACGAGCTGCGCAGGGGCGAGAACGGAGGCGTTGAGTCCTTCGAGGGGGAGTGGGTAGAGGGCGAGCGGCGACGAGGCATACTCACTGCCGCCGATGGCTCGAAGACGAAGGGCACTTGGGCGAATGGCTGCCTCGACGAGGCGCTGCCAGTGTGGCGCTCATGCACGATTGGGGACGGATCCCATTGGGAGGGAGGCTGGGTGGGCGGTCAGCCACACGGCAAAGGTGTCCTGAAATCAGCGCAAGGCGCCTCACTGAGGGGGACCTTTGCAAAGGGCGCACTGTGCCCGGATAAGGCGGCGCATGCCGACAGCGTGCCACACAAGGGCGGTACGTTCGATGGGAGCTGGCGAGCGGGCGCTCCGCACGGCCGCGGGCGTCTTACCTACACAAGCGGTGCCCAGCTCGAGGGCGAATGGCGAGGAGGAGAGGCGCACTCGTGCCGTGGGACGCTCCTGCTTTCGGGCGGTCACCGCTTCGATGGCCAGGTACGGTCGGGCGCGCCGGATGGGCGCGGCAGCATGAGGTATGCAAACGGCGCTCGCTTCGAGGGCACTTTCCGAGCAGGAGCTCCCGAAGACCACGGCATTTGCTTCGAGCCAGACGGGCGGCGCTACGAAGGCCAGTGGCATGGCGGCCTTCGTCATGGGCACGGGATGGTCACGCTGCCAACCTCAGCCAGGGTCTCTGGAAGCTGGGCCCGTGGAGCGCTCACCGCTGGCCAGAAGGGATCGCAAGAAATCACTGGCTCGTACGATCAGTCGCGGCGGCAGGCGGCGGCTGCCCTCACCCCAGAGTGGATTGCGGCGCCAGATAAGCAGCAAAAGCAACTTGAGCCAGAACCAGACCGCGTCTCGAGTGATCGAGAGCACACGGATGGTACTGATACTTCCCAAGCGATGCGCGGGCAGGTAGATCAGGTACCCGCGAGGCCTGACTTCTCCCGCCCGCTGCGCTTAAAGAAGAGCGAGCCGGCAAACGCCAACGAGCAGAAGGACGAGGACGTGGCAGGACCTCACTCAGACCCACCCGTCGGAGACGCGCATGGCGCTATTGGCATGGGTTCTGTGCCTGTCGTTGGTTGCGCAACAGCGCTTTCCGATCTTCTGCTCCTCGCTGGTGAAATCCCTTCTGAGAAGCTTCTCGGGCTCTGCTTGGCCAGAGTGGTGACCTAGAGGAGGGCGGGGAAAGGTCGAAAGTTCGGAACCCGCCCACCTCACTTCCTCGCCGCCATGCGCCAACTTCGTCATTGCCGCCAGTTGTGTCAGTGTGCCTTGTAAGCGTGTCGTGATGTGATCTGTGATCTGTGATCTGTGAGGGTCCGCCCGCAGGCGCATTTTGTATACCGAGGCGGTGCCGGGTGCCGAGCGCAGGCAGAGCCCACAGGTCGGACCTTAAGACAGCGTTGTAGATCCCTGGGCGAGGGTGGAGAGATGAACCGCCAAAAGATAAAACGAGAAGAACCGCCGTTCTCGAGATTCTGGCGCATTCTCGGAGTTTCGTTTTGGAGAGAGAAAAGCGCGAAGGATGTGACGGGAGAAAATTGTACTCGGTACTGTACTCGCCGGCCCTGGTCGACCATAGTCCATACGGCGCTATTTCTCGAGGGAGGAGTATGCAAATAAGTGAAGAGCGTTTTTTTTTGCTGAGTGCTGTCGCGGTGTAGCTACAGTCGATCGATGGCCGCCTGCAAGTTGCTCGGCATAACTGTTGACTCAGCCGCATGCCATCCGGATGCAGACGGCGACGTAGAGCGCCGAGTAGGCGAAGGCGGCGAGCGCCGCGAGCGAGGAGAGGTGCGCGACGCTCTGCGCGACGAGGTAGATGTTGACGGCGATGATGACGGTGGCGACCGCGTACGAGACGGCGAGCAGCGCGCGCCGCGTGCGGAAGGGGCCCATCAGCGGCTTGGAGGCGGCGAAAGTGAGCGCCGGCAAGACTGCAAACGGGAGCTGCACCTGCGTTGAGGTGGGCAGGAGGGAGGAGGGCGCAACTGGAGAGGGGGCGAGAGGCTACGCGTGTGACGGTGCGGGCGAATGGCTGGCGGGTGCGAGGGGCAGGGCTGCCGACTGGAGGACGTTGAGGTACTCGTTGATGTTGGAGAAGAGCGCCGGGTTGGGCGCGGTATAGGCCGCCACCAGCAGGGCGGGCCCGAGGGCGAGGGAGCGCGTGAGCGCGACGCGCTTCCTGTGAGTCGCGCTCGGCGTCAGCTGGCGTGCGGCTGGAGCGGCCAGGCGCGGCGGCGCAAGAGGGGGAGAGGGGCGAAGCTGCTGGCCGGCGGAGCTACTTGTGTGCGCCGCACCACGGCGCGAGGGAGAGCTCGAGGCAGCCGCCCATGATGATCTGTCCCGCGTACGTGCACACCATCGTCGACGCCTGGCCCGCGGCGAGCAGCCCGATGGCCCACACGTAGAGCGAAGTCGGCCCGAGGCTCGCCTCGAGCGCGTACCCCTCGGCGAGAAGGCCGAGCTCGCCGCACACGCCCTTTCCTCCGCCCGGCCGGTCGCAGTGGTGCGAGGTGATGGTCGTATCGGCCGCGCTCGCAGGCAAGCACGCCTTCGGCCCGTCGGGCTGCGTGGCGCACGCGGGGTCAAAGAAGCTCGCGTCGTTGGTGGCGACCACGGCGAGGTTGATGTAGAAGGAGAGGAGCAGCGCGAGCGTCGACTCGATCCGCGTGTACCAGATCGACTCGTTGACGCGGCGCGGCGTCGAGCGAGGCACGCGGCGCGACAGCACCACCCCCGAGTGCAGAAAGAGGTTGTGCGGCATGATGACGGCGCCGACCGTCCCGACGGCCTGCGTGACGGCGTAGCTCTGCAGGCCGGGTAGCGCCCACCCGCGCAGCAGCTCGGCCTACTCGCAAGCGGCGGCCTGCAGCGACGACCCTCTTCACACCCACAGCCAGCTGCGGCTCGTGCCGAGTCGACCCCGGTGTGGCCCAAGTTGAGAGAGAAGCAGACCGCCATCGCGCCGATCATCGCGCAGATGAGAAGCTCGAGGTAGCGCACGCCGAGCTGCTGCACCGCGAGGAAGGTGAAGGTGTCGAGGCCTGCGCGACATGGCGGGGCCGGGTCGGGGCCGGGTCGGGCGCGTCGGGAAGGGTCGGCTGTCGAGGCCGGTGATGATGCAGCCGAGCCAGAGGGGGACCCACCCTCCGCTGAGCAGCGAGAGGGCGATGGCGGACCCGACCACCTCCTGGATGTCTGCCTGTGGGGCGTGTCAGGGACGCGTCAAGGACGTGTCATGGGTGGCGGGGACCGCACCACTGGAAGTCTGCCGCGATGACCGCGGCCTCCATGTTAAAGTACACGACGTAGTTGAGCCAGCGCGGGTACCTCGCGCGCACGAGCTGGGCGAGGTCGCAGCCCGTCACCAGCGCCAGCCGCGCCGCGCTCTCCTGCATCACCAGCCCCATCATCGTCGCCCACCAGAGCACCCACGTCAGCCGCAGGCCCGTGTAGGCCCCCGCCTGCAGGTTGCTCTCCAGGTTGCCGGGATCGAGGTAAGCCAGACTCATCAGGAAGCCCGGGCCCAGGAAACGCCACAGCCTCCGCCAGCTGAAGCGGAAGGGCGGCAGCTCGTCCCCGCTATGGACCGGGACGCCGTCCGCCGGTGGCCACGGCTCGTGCTCCCCGGAGCTGGATATGCTCGACGCCTGGTTCGGCAGCAGAGCGGCTACGACCCGCTCATTGGTGAGCGGCGAGGCACCTGAGGCCACACGTTCGTCGAGGAAGGGCTCGCCGAGCCCCGCCGGGTGAGGCTGGCTCCCATCCGCCGACCTCTGCCACCGCGGCGACTCACGCCACGCCCGTGCAGGCGACCAGACCCGGCAATCGTCGTCCAGGGATTGGTGGCCGGCCGTATCGATCGACAACGGCGATACGGGAGGCACGGGTGGCGGGACGGGAGGCGGGCGAGACATACGGCGGCGGGGCTGGCGGCGGCGGCGAGGGCGAGGGAGGTGGTCAACTCTTCAGCGCCACGCGCCCTTTCTTTTTTCTGGTGTGTGTGCCAGTGTGCCAGTCCGCGCCAGTCCGCGCCCTTGTCGTGCCAGTGTGCTGTGAGAGAGGCTTGTATCTTAAGAATTCTTTTAAATCGTATGGCGCGGCTTCTAAGGAAGCTGTCAGGAGACGGAACACGGAGGAGCTGTATAGGTCACTAGAGACCCACACCATCGCTACTCGAGTACATCACCACAGCCACCAAGTCGGATACAAGTCGATGACAATGTGCGCGGCAGGACAAACCAAAGTCCAAACATGAGACGGTTACATACAGAGAGAGAGATTTTTAGCAATACCAAACAACTCTAAGACTAAGTTTTGTTTTTGATACATACACAAGAAGAGAGAAAAGGATGGACGGTCAGGCTACGGTCAGGAAGTAGGTTTGAGTTCACACTCTCCAACACTCCCCCATTGTCTCCGCAGTCTTCATGAATGAGGATGCGGCAGACAACAACAGCAGAGTGTGAATGTGTCTGAGCGTAGGTATGCCGGTTACCCGCCGGCGTCTCGCGGGGGCCGGGGCTGGCTAAGCGTCCAACCTTGCGTCTTCGCGAAGGATGGTCTTGCTTGTTGGCAAGACTTGCGCGCTAAGATGATCCAGTGAAGGGGTCAAAGCGCGGCCGAGTGGGCGGAGAGAGAGAAAGGGGAGATAATGAACAGGAGCTCGTTGTGGAGCTCGGTCATGGTGCGCCGCGAGCTGCAATCCGGGCTGAGCGTCGCGGGGCGGTGGCTTGAGCGGGCGCGGCGGGAGCGGCGGGCGCGGGAGCGGCAGCGGGGGCGCCCCCTTGCGGCGCGGCGATTGGGCCGTTGGGAGGCCTCGCCGCGTTGACGCGGATGAGCGCATCAGGGACGTGAGGACGATCTTCAATGCCCCGAACGTTGATGTTGCGCCACGGGCCGCCGACGTCGGAGATGGCAGGCTCAGTCTCAGACGTGCAGACCAGAGACGCTCGTAGAGAGGCGCATTGGACTTCTTGCCAGAGGCGTTGGACAGCGGGACGGGCTAGCGCGAGGAGGCGAGACGAGGAAGAGACAGCAATGAGGTAGAGTGGCATTGCCACGTCGAACAGATGCCCAACACTCCCCCACGACGTGGTAATCGCCACACAAGGCAGAGAGGGCGTGTGTCGATCGTCGCGTGTTCATCGCGTACAGCTCCGGTCGTGTCGAGCGGCGACGTCGGAAGTAGCGGCGGCGAAAGGCAGGGTCCACATTCGGTGCGAGATCTTTGCGGTAACTGCCGTTGCAGCAGCCCGAGAGCTGGTAGCGGAGGCAGCAGCTGCGATGGTGGTCCGTAGGCGAGGAGAACGGACCGGTAAGGAGAAGCAAGAGGGGATACTCGTGTCCACACAGCCGCAGTGCTGGCGGAGATGCGCTCTGTCGCAGAAGATCCGCAAGCACCCAAGTTGATGTTGCGGTTGTACTCATTCTGCTCAGCCTCCGAGCCGAGCAGTTGGCGGCCGCTGTGCCACCGTGCGCCGAGCCTCTGTGCCCAGCCAATCACCACGGCTCGCGCAGGTGCCCATGGTGCCAGCCAACGTATCGAGCGTAAGCCGGAAATGCTGTGCGGCAACACATCTCGCTTGTGTGCCGCACCAGCTCTCATGTCGGCCTCAGTGCCGCACTGCTCACCGGTCGGTACCATGTCCGAAGAGGCCACCGGCCAAAAGCGCATGTCTTGAAGGTCCGATACTGGAAGCCCATATAGGCACCTAACACAACTGGTCTAGAGAGGTTGAGGTGCGAGCCCTGGGGGCCCTGGGGATGGGGGGGAGACTACCCGCAGGCCTAGAAGGCCCGCGCGCAGGGGGGTGGGACATTCATTGAGACCGGACATGCATGAATGTGAGTGCGCGACACGCACACTTGGAAGAAAGAAATCACGCCCCGACTGCGCGTTGTTTGTTTGTTCGAGTCTACGAGAGGTGTGAGCCCTGGACCTTCACCGGCCTGTGCCTGGTGCCTAAAGCGACCCGATTCAAACTTGTATGCCGACTCTCGGCGCCAATTCCCGCGCCATCGGCAGCCTCCAGCTCGTGGCACCGCACGAGTACGAACGCTGCCTCCGCCGACGGGGAAGCAGCATTGCGCGCGCATTCTCGAAAGATGCGGTCAGACACCCCCCCTGACACTCGCCCTCTGGCCCGGGCCACCGCCCGACGGGCGTGCACCTCTTTACCCGTGTCAGGTCAAGTGGGAGCACGCGGCGGAGCTCCTCCTCCACCCTCGACTCTCCGCCTTGCCCTTTTATCTGCCAGTGCTGCCGCAGCTCAGCTTGCTCAGCTCCCGGTGCCTCGGCCTCACGCACGAGCAGCGCATGACGACAGTCGCACGGGGTCTCCTGCGGATGCGACCCAGAACATGTCTGCCCATTAGATCTCCACACACGCGCGGGTGGGGCGATACCTGGTCTCTCACTGCGCAACGATGCGCCGCAAAAACCGTCTCCTTCTCACAGGTCTGCTCGTCAGCAACTTTTGGAACCGCAGCTACCTCTGGGGCGATATTCTCTCCTTGAAGGCGGAGGACGGGCACTACGCGGCACAGAACTGCAGCTTGGCTGGGTTCGTCGACGGTGGCCGCCCGCGCCTCTGGAATGACACGGCGCATCCCTTTCTCGGACGCGTCCGCCGCTTTGTGCCGCTGCCATACGTGGAAAACACGTGCCTGCAGCCATAGACGTGAGGGGAGGGGGGGTATCCACTTGGCCCACGCGTGCACTGGCCCCACAAGTGCATTGGGGAAAAGCGCCGCGGGCAGAGGACGTTCGCCTCCCGTAGGTATTGCCGGGCAGAGATGCTGCGAGGTGCATCCAGGACGACGCTGCTCAGCTTCCGGGGGGCGCTGCATTATCCGGCGCGGCAAGCTCTGAGTCGACTCAATACGTCGGCACTACCAATCACTCGCTTCGGCTGCACGCGCGGGCTCATTTTGGAGGAGGTTGAGCGCCCGCCAGACAGCTCTGCGAGCGGTCCTCGCTCGGAACGGCAAGTGTGTGTGCGTGCTGTCTGTCAGGTGAGGCGATGTGACAGGCGCAAGGCCAACTGCTCAAAGGACGTGTTCAGTAAGCGAGCGCTCGCGGCGGAGATGGCAACGAGCGTGTTTTGCCCAGTGATCCGAGGCGACACACCCTCCTCGAGCCGGTTTTCGGACGCCATCGCCGCGGGCTGCCTGCCTCTTCTCATAGGCACCGACGCCGCTTCTCCATGATGCGCCTCCGGGCGAGGACTAACCGCCATTCGCCGACGCAGGCAGCTACTCGCGCTACGTCTCTGCAGAGACGGAGCTGGCCAGGTATGTGGACCTCCCCTTCTCTCCACGCGTGCCGTATGCAGATTTTACGCTCCGGATCGACGAGCGGCGCTGGATGGAGGACCCGACGCGCGCGTTGCTACACGCTCTCGGTGGCTTGACTCTGAGGCGCCTCCGAGAGATGAGATATGTGCGACGCCCGTCGCGCTCTCGCGACGCCCACCGCACCCGCCGTGCTCCTGCCGCACTCGCCTGGTTGCGCTCTAGGTCTGTCCGTCACATGCAGAGGCACCTCACCACCGAGGGTGCTTGGATACTGTACCGATCGCCGACATCGCGCGTCGCCCAATTTCTAGTGGAGGAGGCTCAGAAGGGCTAATGGGCTGCGATTTGCGGAGGACGACGCGTTTGGCAGCGCAGCCAGGTTTTGGGCTTCACCTACTTTCGCCTGCTGCAGTAAAGTGATATCCCCTGTCTTAAGGTCCGACCTGTGGGCACTGCCTGCGCTCGGGGCGCATCCCCTAGGTGGCAGGAGGGCCGAACCCACCGAGCTGTGGAGCGGTGGCGCGGTGTTGGTTGGTCCCTCCGCCCGGGCCCCAATTATGTGCCTCTACGATGGCCTCCTGCCCCGCGCGCTCAGCATATTTGAGCTGCCGTCGCTGCGGTCGGGCCAACGCGGCATCGTCATCGGCATGGGCGGAGGCTGCGATGTGCTCGGTGCACTGGCCTTCGCGCAGGCGTGGGAGGCTCGGAGCCCGGGTGCTACAGTGCTCTTTGCCAACTGCGTTTCTCCGCGGCCGATGCCGAGCCACGAGCAGCTCGCACCGCACCTGTGGCGCTGCCCTCCGAACGTCGTCCCGCTGGCGGCAGGAGACGGGTGCTACGGCTCCACCCGCCTCGAGCAGAGCCTTCCGCGCGGCGCCGAAGGTGTCGCTTCCGGCTCGCCAGGGCGCCTCGCCTCGTGTCACCGACCGCCCTGCCGTCCCGCAGGCTCTCCCTTTCTGCTCGTGGTGCCGGAGGACGGGAAGGGGCCTTCTTCTGTGGAGGAGGTGACACGTGCAAACACCGGGGCTATCACCTCCTCGCTCGCTCGCCTGTGCGCTCCACTGGAGCCGCCAAGCAGCCCGCCGCAGCCCGCCTCCTGCAGCCCGCCGTGGGACGCATCCCTAGGCGCGTCGACGCGATCCTCGCAGTCGACCTCGGAGGTGCCTCGGCTATGACGGGGGAGAGCTCTGAGTGAGACTCACTGCGCCCTCTGTCGGTCGACTTCGGCACACTGCACGGCGCTTGGGGAGGAGGCCCTCCCTTCGCACTGCACTCCCGCACGTTGCATCCCCGTTCGAGCCCCGCCTCGCTGCCCCCAGGAGACTCGCTGACGGGAGGCGTCGACTTTGCAAGCGACCCGGAGTGCGGCCGCGACAGGCAGGTGCTGCACGCGCTGCGCGCGAGTCGGATCCCGTGCGCGGCTCCCGCTCTCGCCCTTCTCCCTCGCCCAGACGCTCGTCCTCCCCGACCAACCCACCCTCCCACCCCTCTCGGCACTATGGCCCCCTCACGCCCATATGGCGCCGCCCGTGACGCCACACGCCGGAGCTCGCAGGTGCACCCACCTCGTCCTCGGACCCGGCTGCGATGGAGAGTCCGCCGTCGGCGCCATGCGCGC